CCCCCTCCGCCAGCCTCCTCCCTCCTCCCTTTCCCACCCCCACAGTAAAATGAAGGGGCTGGGCCAGCCTGGTCCCTCCTTGCTCCTCTCTTCGCCGGTAGCTCCTCCCTCGGTAGGACTCCTTCAGTTTCCAGCTCTTGGAGCTGAGAGTTGAACCGGGAGCCCAGACCTTGGAACTTGGAGAGAGGGAGACGCCATAGCACCCTCTCCCCTCTTTACCCACCCAAGTCCCCACATTCCCTCTGCTCGCATCTCCCGGGTTTGGGCCGCCAGAGGTTTCCTCCAGCCGGAGCCACTTGTCTCCTGAGCAGAAGGGGCAAGCAAGGAGAAACTTCGCTTGGGCGGGGGGTCCCTTAGAGTACAGCCTGGCTCTCCCATCCTGAATGTTTGGGACTTTGGGGGATAGGGAAGTGGTTGTAGTACTGGGTGGGAGAGGGTCTAACGGGTCTACATGACTGTGACTGTCACCAACTTCCTGGTTTTTTTGGTTAGTTGTTCTCAGCTTCGCCCTGAAGGAAAGGAAAAACTGCTTGTTACTTGCCCCCAGGGCCAGTCATCCTAGGCCCAGACCTTTGCAGAGAGCACATGGCTCTCCTCTCAGTGTGGACAGTGGTGGTAATCAGTTGGCCCGCAAAGTTGAGACAGACTCAGCTACAATAGGAGCTCAGTGCACCAGTAACCCAGCTGTGTAGCTTACGCCGGGGCTTACACATGCGATTTATGGGCACTGACTAAAGTTAATAACTCTGGACACACCAGAAAGCCTCGGGATTAGCCTTATTTTACCCTAAACGTGTGTGCATATGCAAGTCCTGTTTGCCTCTGCTGAGGGATGAACTTTATCCCTGACCATCAGAGGAAGGGCTACACGGATGAGATAGGCAAATTCATGTAATGACTAGAACAAGGTAAGGTGAGGATTTTGAAATACACTTTCACTCAAATTATCTGGCAGTAGCCAGTATATTGCAGGCATTTCCCAGCTCCGTATCCTCAATGATGCTGTTCATTTTAGGAACCCACAAAAAACAGGAGAAAACTGCTTCTTGGAGAACCCAGGCGGTGAGGAGTACAGGATCATCGAAGGAAGAGGAAGTCTGGAGCTGGTGGAACAGTGGAAAGTACTGTGATAGTGAGTAATCAGGATTTCTGACTCCCACCCACAGCAGCATGGAAGAGCTCGGGCCTGGAAAGCTAATGTATGTCAGGTCCCCTCTGAGACCAGAAACATCCTAACCCAAGGTCAGCCGGGAGAAACCTGGACAGAGATGTAGCACTAGGCTGAGTCTGTGCAGCCACTTCCTACAGCAGACGACAGGCAGCTCATCCCGGGGCTGAGGGCTTCTTGTGCAGAGAGGCAGTGAGCATAATGAAGGGAGCAGGAGGCTGACTCAGCTCTGCCATTAATTTAGCAGTACAACCTTGGCCAAATCACATAAACACTCCCTGGGTGGAGAGAAAATGAGAAGGTGTGGAGAAAGTGCTTTGGAGAAAGTCCAAGCACTTTGGAGAGACAGGGCCTGAGTGCAGATTCTGCCTCTGCTACTTCCTAGCTATGTTACCTTGGTCAAATTAACCTCTCTGTGCTTCAGTTTCCTTCTGTGTAAAACAAGATAACTGCAATTTGATCTAATGTAAATAGTAATATTAAAAGTAGTGACAGAGCTGGGTGCAGTCATGCACCTGTAGTCCCAGATTCTTGGGAAGTTGAGCCCCAGGAGTTTGACTCTCATGCCAACCTGGGCAGCATAATGAGACCCTATTTTTAAAAACAACAGTGATAATACTGTCCTAAACATCCTCTGTCTCCCATGGACATAATCCAACATCTCCAGCTCTGGAAGTGAAACTGTGGATCAAACTGGGTATATATATTTATGAAGAGGGACATGTGAATGGCTGTGCTAGGGCTTAGGGGAACTTGGTTCTTCAAATAACCCCTGCCCCTCTCTGGGGAGGTCCAAAATGTCATTTCTCATTTGATGGGGATGAGAATGCGAATTTGAATAAACAAGAGGTCAAGCGCAGGGCAGTGCCTGTCTCTGGAGCTCAATGCTGTAATTGTGCTGTGTAAAAGGCTTGTGTGGTGAACAAGGATAGGTTCAGTCCAGGCAGAAAAGGGGCTATTAGCAGACTCTTTCATGGTACCTGAGATTCCTGTGGGGTCAGGTTATTCTCATACCTTGCCCAGCCTGATCCTCAGTCCTAGGCAGATATTTGAAGGAAAGAAGGAACTCAGTCCTCCCCATTAGCTCTGTATATAATGGAAAGCAAAGGATAACAGGCAGGAAGTGGCCTAGCTACACACCTCAGGCCAAAGGAATAATGTAGGCGTAAGGGACCAGGCCGATTAGTCAGAGAAACTCTGGATGCAGAAGTTTGGGGACCGGGATTAAGGATCAGAAAGGAGAAGAACACGATATCCAGGTGTCTGGGCCTGTTGGTTGGCCCTCCTCCTCCTGCGGGGAAGTCCAAAATGAGAAAGCACATTAAGTGAATGTAACTTAGGAACAAATAAATCAACCTGGAAATGGGGCAGTGAGACACACCTTTGCCCAGGGAGCCTTCTTGGAAGAAGAGTATTAGGAGTAAGAAGTTGAAAGGACAGAAATGTGGCCTGCTTAGCTGGAAGATAAGGGCAGGGCTTTGAGGGGAGACAGCAAGCCAGTACCAAGCTTCTGTTTTGGTCAGGCATGGGGGTGAGGGCAGACAGGAAGCAGACTGCCTAAACCTTGGTTTCTGCCACAGTGAAGGAGCACCAAAGGAACATAAACCTGGCTTTCTGGTTGTGAAAGGGAGAGAGAGGCCTGGGGCAAGAAGGCTGTCAGGCCTTCAGATGCTGGGTGATAAGGACATAGTTGCAGATGACTGGTTTGAGAGTAGAGAGGAAGAGGGGATCCTGGAGGCAGGGAATGAATCAGCGGGATTTGGAGTAGGCGTGGGGTAAAGCCAACATTGAGAAGGCCAGGGCGATTGAGTGGGCCAGAGCCAGGGCCAGAAGCAGGAGCTGGGGTTGTTTCAAGGATTTTGATGCCACTGGCTTGCACTGAGCAAACTGGGGAGTCTGGCTTATGGGCCCAGGCACAGACCCTGATTTCAGGGTATAGTGGGTTGAGTCTCCAGTGACCCTGGGTAGAAGATCTGCAGTCAAGAGTATATTGTAGGGTGAGGAGAAGAGGGAAAACCCCTTTTCTAGCCTTTTACATCACCCTTCCAATCTGAAGATTGGCCCCAGCCTCATCCTGCAATCAACAGATTAAAACACTCAATTCAAATCCCTCTTTTTGACTTCTCTCAAGCCCATCCTCACTGTCTGCAGGGTTCCTAGGTAATTAGAGAAGCCTACCTTATCCCCACTTGGGACCTTTCTTCATCCCTAGATTCCTTGAATAAATACCCCTATTTGGTAGAGTCTAGAAATCCTCCAGGGAAAAGCCTGTGAAATGTTGAACTCCCTATTTGGCCACCTACCGTTGTGATTTTCAGAGACTTTTGCTTAGTATACATCAATAAAGATTTAGCACCTACTGTCTCGCCAAGCAATAATCTGGGTATACAGTAGTGAACAAGTTAAGGTTGGGTTTTCTACTGAAAAATCACATTTGGATAACTTCAGTTTAACATCTTATGTAAACAAAATGAATCTAGATATGCTGGGGGAATTTTTGTTTTGTTTTGTTTTGTTTTCAAGACAGTCTCACTGCTGTGTAGTTCAGGCTAGCCTTGAACTTATGATCTTCCTGCCTCTGCCTCACAGGTGTGTACCACCGCCCAACCTGGGGGAAATTTTCAATAGACTGGCTGCAAAAATAACTTTTGGTGCATCTTCTGGGAAAATAAGCTACAATACTACAGCACTGGTCTGGGGGAAGAGCCAGAGTGTATCGAAGGTGTAATTACGGGAGAAAGTGCAAATCTCCCATCTTTCTAAGGTCAGAAGGATCAGAGGTAAGAGAAGAGCTTTTTGAGAGATAATTTGCTCCTCCTTCCACAGGATTAAGGAAGCAAGCCCTGTATCTGATGCAGAGAAAGTGTTAGTGGAGAAGAAAGTGGAAGAAAGGACAACCATTTGGCAAAACAACCATGCAGTTCCCTCTCCCATTAGGAACTTGAACTGACCTGTTCCCTCCCCAGCATTGTGTCCTGTTCCACACCCCTCTGCACTCAGTAAGAATGGGGGTAGTCTCGCTTTGCTTTAGGAGGAGGCTTGAGCAAACATCCCTGTGGTGATGGTGGTGACAATTTGCTTCCTGGCTGCCACGTCTCCCTGAGGTGAGCGGCTCTTTCGATAAACAGGAAGAAACTTTGTTATAAAGACTCCACACCACCTGGCCAGCAAGGGTGTGTTCTAGGTGGCTGACCCTGGCTTTCACAAAGTGGAAGACTTTGCCTGTGACTTCTCAGTTTCCAAATGTTTCAAGTATCTGAGTCCCTGGGTGGGAGCTGAGAGGAGAGCAAATGCCATCATCTGGGTCTGGGGAGGCTCAGGAGAGCACAGGCCCCTTAGGACCTCTAAGCGGGAGGAGGAAGCACATAGGGCAGTGGCCTTGAGTTGGGAAACAATTGTGTTCCTGGGAGCTACGAGCTGTGTGTCACCAATGAAGTCACCTAACCAAGCAAGCCACACCCATAAAATGAGGGAACCATACACAGAACCAGTCAAGACAGCAAGCTAATGTGTGATAGCAGAACATAACTCAGCCAGGCATGGTGGCACACGCCTGTAATTCCAGCACTCGGGAGGCTGAGGCAGGAGGATCGCTGTGAGTTCGAGACCAGCCTGGGCTACACAGTGAGTTCCAGGTCAATCTCAACTTCATAGTGAGACCTTGTCTCAAAAAAATAGAACATAACATAACTCAGATACTTGTTGCAGCAAGTGCTTGGTGCTGTCTGTATTCCCAGCGTGTTGCATGTAGGATGCTGACACAGGAAAATCATAAGTTTGAGGTCAGCCTGGGCTGCTTAGATCCTGTCTCCAAAATGATAAAACAGGGCTGGGGATTTAGCTCAGTGGTGCTGCTGCCTGTCCCGAGTTTGATCCCCGGTACCAAACAACAACAACAAATGATAAAACATCTTTTAGTGAAGCTAGTGCTTAACGTTTAACCCCTGTAGTCGCATTTCATTTAAACAAAGAGTATGAACACATACTATGTACAAAACCTGTGCCGGACTTTGCAAGTGATAGAGTGAAATGACATGGCCTTTCAGGCTCAGGGTTCAGGTCCTAGGAGAGGAAGAGATGCCTCTGACACAGGCAGCTGCCCTAAGGCCAGAGTTTAAACAAGAAGGCTGGAGCTGTGGCTCCATGGTAAAAATACCTGCACAAGAATGCACAAGGCTCTGGGTTTAGTCCTTGGTGCTGGAAAAACAAATCAGAACAAAACAGGAGGCTAAGGGGCAGGGAGAAGTTAATTCTGCTGGGAGATCTGAGAAGGCTTCTTGGAGAAGGCTGGGATATAAAATAGAGGGATTAGCTTATATCACTGGCATTTTAGCTTCAATGACAGGAAAAGAAAATATTTTAAAGAGTATATCAGAGCCCGGCGTGGTGATGCATGCCTGCGATCTAAACACTTCGGAGGCTGAGGCAGGAGGATCGCTGTGAGTTTAAGGCCAGCCTGAACTACATAGCAAAACCTTGTCTCAAAAAAACTAAAAAAAAAAAAAGGAGGGTATATCAGGACACATATGTGACAATGTATCCTAAAAGTCTAAAAGTCTTAGCTGGGGTTGTATCAGTGGCACCAAGCCTGCCTGCCAAGCGTAAGGTCCCGAGTTCAATCCCTGGGAGTGGGGTGAGGGAGGGGGTGGTCTTAGAGCAGGTTTGTATTTTAATAGCATCAGAAATTATACAAAATAAACCAAAAAAGATGATTTGAAAATTTCATCATTTAAACTTCTTTTACTTTATTGTTTTATGATTTGCCCAGAGTGGCTGCAAACTTGTGATCTTCCTGCCTCTCCCTCCCAAGAAGCTGAGACTACAGGCGTGTGCCACCTACACCCGGGTAGTTTTATGAATTTTGAATAATAAATTTTTAGTTTTAGTGTTGTATCAAGCAATGTTTGTCATCTTCAATAGATTGAAAGAAATATTAAAGTAAAAGTTGATTATTCAAAATTCAAAAGACTAAGTAAAAGAAATTTAAATAAAACTTTCTGATGATATTCTTTGTTAAATCTATAGCATTCATATTTCTGAAGTTATTGAAGTTTAAGCCTACACTAAGACTTTTGGTACACTCTGTATGTATAAATAATAACTAAAATGAAAATTTAATAAAATAATACTTATCCACATTACATGTAATGTACTTTGATATTTCCTTTTCCATCCTATTTTGGTCTAAGAATGTTTTTCATGCTAACTTGCCACACTCCGATTATTTTGCAGTGCTGTACGCAGTGGGTGATTATCAGCAGTCAGATAGACCTTGGCCTGTTTCTGGTACTAGTGAGAGAAGGTAAGTTCATTTTCTGGCTAGTGGGCTCAGAGAAGCAAGGCTCATTTGTTCAATCTAGGAAGGCTTCCCAAAAGAAGATTTTCAGCATCTCCGCAACATGACAGTCTGAGAGGATGGGTGGAGGGAAGAGATTAGGGACCAATGTGTAGCAACAGCCAAGGGTGGGGAGTGAGTGGATGAGACTGTGGGTGCCTGAAGGTGCAGGAGGTAGGCAGGTCATGGGGTCCTGTGAAGCCCTGCACTCAACAGGGTACTACAGTAGGGGCTATTCCTGGTCCAAGGCTGGCAGCAGGTTGACCTCTCTGCCCTTATTAATCCCACTTGTGGGAATTGTCTGCTCTGTAGAGATTAGGAATCCTTAATGCCAAAATCCAGTGGCTTCCATTAGATTGCATGTCACTTCAGTTGCCTGTGAGCAGAGCAAACAGAGTGAGTCCCCTACTGCCAAGCCTAATCATAGGTGTCTCGTTTCGTTTCAGGATGTGGTTACCTTGAGGAACTGCAGGTCCCAGAGAAAGCTTTAGACATCCAGGTTTTATTGAGAGAGTAGATGACTGGGGGAGCTCGACTTAACCCTGGTTTCCTTTCTCCAGAGGGAGTGCGAGGAGCTGAGACAAACCCCACTGCAGAGGACCACAAGGCACTGCCAGAATGAAGAAGTCGGAGTGACCTGGCTGACTCAGCTGAAGAGGTCTTCCTGCTGGAGGTAAGTCCTGAGCATTGACTGACGACTGCTAGTAACTACAATGTTATCACACCTTTATTTCTCCCTGCCCTTTCTCTTCCTAGAGTGAGAAAGTAGCAGAAAAAATTCAACCCTAGGATTTATTGCTGCCCTGGCAGACTCCCCCGTTCTGCAGCCCTTGGTCTGGGCTTGGCTGCAGCAGTTCCAGAACTGCAGCCTTGTGCTGACCCCAGCACAGCTCAACCCTTGGATAGGGACAGTAACTCCGCCCTGGATCACCTTTTCTGCCTTGGAACCTTCATCAAGCTCACAGGGAATTCTACTTCTCTCCCTTGGCATTTGCCACCTGTGTTACTGTTATGTTTTAATTTTATTAACTTTTGAACAGGAAATGTAGTCAGGGTTCAGAATACAAAAGGGGACTCAATGAAAGCCCCTTCTCCTGCTCCTGTCTCCTCCCAAGACAGGTGTGCCTGGAACCAGTGCTATACTTCCTGGTCCCCATTAAGACTTTTAAAGCCTTTAGAGAAAGGAAGGGTCCCATACCCCTTTGTGTCTTCCTGTGTCCCACCCCATCACCCAAGGGAGTTTTGCTAGCATTGTGTCCCCTCTCTGCCAGGGCACTGCTATCTTGGGTGAGGCACCCACGCCTCTCCCAATCGACTGTCCAACTGCCAAGCAGGTCCATCTCCTAGATGCCATCTACCAGATGTCATATTGCTCTTCCTAGAATTCTGGGCTCCCAGCTAATCTTTTATTACTCCTCGTATCTCAGGTCAGGGACAAACTCCTCAGCATGATTAACAAGGCCCTGATAACTTGGCCTCATTAGCCACTCCAGGCCCATCTTCTGCTGCTTCTACCAGACTTCATGCTCCCATCAGCTCAGACTGCTACAGTTCTCTGCTTAATCATTCTGTCTCCCACCTGTAGGCCTTTGCTGTGTGTGACTTTCTCTCTGCCTGGATTGTGCTCACCTCTGCTGGGCCACTTACCCTCAAGTTGGTGCTCAGCCCCAGCTTCTCTCCCTGCAGAACTTCTTTGCCTTTCCCCATTGACTGAGTTTCCTGCATTCCTTCTCCTGCAGCACCCGAGGGTACCTCTTCTTGCTACCTTCTCCGTTTAAAATCTGATGTTATAAAGAAACCACCTATCTCTCAGCCCAGAATGAACCTGCTCCACATTGAGATCATGCCAATCACCTTCTCCCTGAATGCAAGTGACTCCTGCCATCAGTCTGTTCCACAGGCAGGAGAATGTGGGTTTAGATAACAGCATTAAATAGCTCAACTGGAGTTAATTTAAGCAAACTGGCAAAGGGTGATGAGTGTGATTTTGGCCAAGGACCAGATGCTTTAAGATGATTGCTGGAAAGTTGAGCAGGGATTTATTCATTATAATAATAGCAATACTTAATACCATTTATTGAGGGCTTAGTAAATGATAGTTACTCTGCTGAGTATTTCACATACATTATCTGATTTAATCCTCACCACAACCCTGTGAGTTAGGTATTAGTTACTCCCACTTTTTAGATGAAGAAATTGAGGCTTTCAGGGATTAACTGCCTGTAGATTGCACACGGCGAATGATAAAAACTAGTGCTTTCTGAGAACTTACCATCCACAGAGACTGCCAAACTTTTTCCATGAGTTCTTTGTTTAAGTTAATCCTTACACCAGCCCTAGGAGGCAGGTGCTATTACTGGAAGAGACAACTGAGACTTGTGCCCAGGCCTTTTGCCATCAACATCTAGTGCTCAGCCACTGAGACTCATACTTCCAGAGCTTGCCACAGAAAGTTTTACAGACATTCATCTCTGAAACATGGAACACATGCTCAGGGTAGAGATTGGTGAGTGCCCATGCTCTGTTTTCCCTGGAAGGTGTTATCAAATCTCAGATTTAAAAAAAATTTTTTTTTCAAAAATTATGTAGAAGCCGGGCATGTGGCGCATGCCTGTAATCCCAGCACTCGGGAGGCTGAGGCAGGAGGGTGGCTGTGAGTTTGAGTTCCAGATCAACTGCACAGTGAGACCTCCTCTCAAAAAGCCAAACAAACAAACAAAAGAATTATGTAAATGCAGAATGTAGTCGGCCCATGGAGAACATGAGTTTGAATTGCATGGGATTACTTTTCAACAATTTTTAAAAACTGACAGATAAACCTCATAACCTAGAAATACAAAAAAAATTTGGGAGGCTGGTAATGTATCTCAGCAGTATAGCACCTGCATGGCAAGTGCAAGGCCCTGAGTTCTATTCCAGAAAAAAAAATAATTTTTTTAATTTGGTTTTTGCTGTACTGGGGATTGAATTTAGGCCTTCACACTGGGCCTATTTTTTATTTTTATCTCAAAACAGGGTCTCACTAAGTCATCCAGGCTGGGCTCAAACTTTCCTCCTCCTTCAAAGTGCTAAGATTATAGGCATTGATAAAATTAAGTATGTTGTGAATACGTAAAATATATGTAGATAACGATCTATCATTTACTATCATAAAATATGTACAAATCTATTATGAAATAATTAGCAAGTTAAAATTTATTAGACCTTATTACACACACACAGACTATACATGGTACAATTTGAAGTCAAGAGAAACGTAACAAATATAGAGATGCAGTATTAAATTACAACTGCGGGCCTAGACTTGTAGCTCAGTGGTAAAGTATGTGCTTAACAATAGTGAGGCCCCAGGTTCAACCTCCAGCACCAAATATAAAATAAGTAAATCAATAACGCATAAGGGCTGGGCATGTGGCTCAGTGGTGGAGTGCTTGCCTAACATACCCAAGGCTCTGGGTTCAATCCCTAATATTATAAAAAATTTTAAGTTAAAAAATAATAATTGCATAGATTAACTACAGTATACCCCCACACTACTGTAATAATTTTACAGCTACCCCCTGTTGGTTATCGGGGTAAGTACTATGAATATCTGCTTAAATTCTCGTGACACTAATCACTTGCACATGAGGTGTTCATCTTTGCAAAAAATTGAGTATCACGGTAAAAAACAATTTCTCATGGTCCATGGGTATTTTTCACTATAATACATACAACACAGTACATAGGTATTAGTTAGCTGTTTATATTATCAGTAAGGCTTCTAGTGAACAGCTGACTTTCAGTAGTTAGAGGGGAATTCAGAAGTTAAAGTTAGATTTTCAACTGTGTGAGAGGTTAGTACCTCTAACCTCCATGTTGTTCAAGGGTCAACTGTACTATGAAATATGAGTAGTGTACTGTTGAGAGCCTTAGGCCGGGACTCTGGAATATGGTGGTAGGTGCCAGCTGTTGAGTTTAAAGCCAGAAGTGTTTTTCTGTTGATTTGAAAGAAGGGAATGACTCCCAGAACATTTATGATTGGTAGATATGGCAAAGAGATGAAGATGCAGTATCATTTTAGGCCAGTTAGCTAATGTTGCTGGATTTCATGTGTAAAATGGGATTAAACTCTATCTGGAGGGATGGAAAACCTTTCACCACAAGAATTTTCTAAGTCCAGAAGTCATTTATACTGGAACACATACACTGCAATGAGACCCTGATTCACTGCAGTAAGACCCTGCCAGGGGTTAGTTGCTTCCATTTCTGTTTGTTTTGTTTTGTTTTGGTACTGGGGATCAAATTTAGGACCTTCTGCTTGTGAGGCAGGTATGGCGCCTCTTAGTTAAATACCAACCTTTTTTTTTTTTTGTCTTGAGACAGGGTCTCACCATGTAGTTCAGGCTGTCAATGGACTCACTATGTAGCCCAGGCTGGCCTTGAACTCATGGAAATCCTTCTACCTCAGCTTCCCAAGTACTGGGGTTACAGGTGTGTGCCACCATACCTTTCTTTTTTTTTTTGTCTTGAGACAGGGTCTCACCATGTAGTTCAGGCTGTCAATGGACTCACTATGTAGCCCAGGCTGGCCTTGAACTCATGGAAATCCTTCCCCCTCAGCTTCCCAAGTACTGGGGTTACAGCCTACCTTTTCAGCCTCTTGCTTTTCATCTTCTTACTCTTCTTTTTTAGTTGGAGACTTAATACATAACTTATGTTTTTCATCCCAGCTAACCTATAAACCTTTCTCTTTTATTATTTTCATTGGTGGAGTCTAGCATCAGTTTTGACCCTTAGTAAGTACTTGTTGAAATAATGCAGCCTCTTACATCCCATTTATTTTCCTTGGTGTTCATTTTGTGGACTAATCTTCCTAACCAGAAGAGTTCCTTGTCCTGTGATCCTTCGATCCTGAGCCCCCAACCCCAAGCCCCTCTCCACCCCTATCTTGCCTCATTTCTCCCTTATCCTTCCCTTCTCAGGCTGAGCCCCCACGGCACCACGACATATCAAGCTCTTTCTAAGGTCAGGCCCAGAGCTTGGAACTGAGTCTGCTGGGATCCCCATGTTGTGGAGGATGAAGCTCCTCCGCAGACGCCATATGCCTCTGCGCCTGGCCATGGTGGGCAGCATCTTCATGCTCTACCTCTTCATCCGGCAAAAAGATGAAGGTGGCAGGGAGCAGGTCACAGAGAAGCCTTGGCTGAAGTCCCTGGTGGGCCAGAAGGATCACGTCCTGGATCTCATGCTAGGGGCTGTGAACAACCTTAGAGACTCAATGCCCAAGCTCCAGATCAGAGCTCCAGAGCTCCAGCAGCCTCTGGTCTCCATAAACCAATCTTGTCCTGCCGGGTTCTACACCCCAAATGAGCTAAAGCCTTACTGGGAACGGCCACTACAGGACCCCAACAGCCCTGGGGCAGATGGGACAGCATTTCAGAAGAATGAGTGGACCCCCCTGGAGACCCGGGAAAAGGAAGAGGGATACAAGAAGCATTGCTTCAATGCCTTTGCCAGTGACCAGATCTCCCTGCAGAGGGCCCTGGGGCCAGACACCCGACCCCCTGAGTGAGTAGCACCCAGAGCCCTGGGAAAGGCCAGGGCTTTATCAGAATTGTGGCCGGCCGGCCTGTGGCCACAGGCCAAGTGCCAGGAACAAAGCTGAGGGGTATTGGAGAACATAAGGGTAAGGATTTTCTTTAAGCTTCCTTTTCTTTCACTGACAAACTACCCTGATCATAGAGGCTACAGTTTAGGAATATTATGGATAGGCCAGAGGCCCAAGAAACCTGTGAAAATGAAACACAGTTATGAAAGTGACAGCATACAAAAGGAAGTCAGCACTTGGGACCAGGATCTGGTACAGGGGCACCTGGGCACCTGATACCAGGCTGTGGATCCAGTGATCTTGCCCTCTGCTGAAGTCTGGCCCACAGACTCTGGACTCCTATGCTGAGCTGTTGGGAGAGGGAACCTTTCCTGACCATAGTCAGGAGTATCCTCACACCACCTGCATTTCTCCAATGAAGCCCTCAAGGCCAGGAAGTCATCCCTGCCTTTATTTGAAGCTGTTTGTAGTCTCAGTTTTGGTTAATGAAACCAGCACTTTAATCTCTAAGGTTCTTCCATATTACTCTAATGCTGCTACAACCGGGGCTCCTCAGACTTGGACCAAGTACAGTGGCCCTAGAATAAGGAGCCATTTGGAGTTATCGGGACCTCCTCAGCCGAGACTGGCATCGTGTGTGGGCAACTAGAGAACGAAATTGGGCATCTCTTTGGAAGCTCTCTATGAGCAGTCTCTTACCAACAGAGGAGGGTAGAAAAGGTGTTAGGCACGTAACTCCTTGAGATCCAGGATCACCACCTGTGTTTGAGTGTCTAGGTGGCAGAGTGACCAGTGCCAGAGTGGTTGTTGGGGTGATGAGGGTAGAGAAAAGACTGCAGGAAGTTAACTGTGATGGTGGAGTCAAATTATAGGAAGTTGGTGAGGAAATGGATAGTGAGGAACTGTAAATTACAAAAGAGCTTTTTCCTCACATTGAGTATGGGAAATTGTAGCCACTTTTCTCAGATGTCAGATTTATCCTTACCCTCTGAAACCTCTAAATTGAGTTACATTTTGTGTAGTATACATGTTACAGAAGAAGAGTCAGCCCTGGGAACTCCTAGCATGATAGCAGAGAGCAGATGGGCAAAAGGAGTGGGGAGCCTTAGCTTCACTGCCAGAGCACAGAACCAGCTCCGGGTTGGGGCTTGGTGTTGAAGCAGGTTCTGTAAGACCTGTACAGAGGGAGTCAAAGACAGGAAGCAGCTGCTCTGCTCCCAACTTCCTCCACCAGCTGCCCACACGCTAATGCCCTTCTCTGCTGAGGAGTTCCCAGTAACTCCAGGGGGCTCCTGTTTGTTTCTAGTCAGTAATACTTTGGTCTAAGTCTGAGGCCCCCCAGCTGGGACAGCATTAGATTAAGTTGGGAGCACCTTAAATACTGAAGTGCTGGTTTCACGGCCCAAGACTGAGGCCATAAACGGCTTCAAATATAGGTTGGAATGACCATGTAGGCGGATGGTTCAGAGGAGTGGAAGATGATTTGGAGAAGCTTCAGACAGAGATCTTCCCACTCCTGGAACTGTCAGAGACCTGGGGAGCAGTGCACATACTTTTGTCTTTCCAGGTGTGTCCACCAGAAGTTCCGACGCTGTCCCCCACTGCCCGCCACCAGCGTCATCATTGTGTTCCACAATGAGGCCTGGTCCACACTGCTGCGAACAGTGTACAGCGTCCTACACACCAGCCCTGCCATCTTGCTGAAGGAGATCATACTAGTAGATGACGCCAGCACTGATGGTGAGGCTAGAAGGGTCCTGAGCAGGGCCTGGGGTCCCATGGGCACTCTGGGGAGAAGGGAAAGTTCTTACAAAGAATCAGGTCCGTTGCCTGCATCACCCTCATTGTAAAAGCCAGAAGTAAGAAGGTAGGCAGGGGACAGGCAACAAGCCTGGACTTTATTCACACTTCACCCAAGGAGATCCAAGAACTTAGCAGCTTTGGTCTTCCTGCGAGCTGTCAAGTCCAACCCCAAGTCAGAAATGCTGGGGGAGGTCAAGTCAGAAGGTAAGGCTTTCCAGTGTCCTGCCTGCCAGCCCACTCTTACGCTCCTGCTGGCTCCACTTCAGAGTCCCTTTTTGCTGTGGTTGTTAATAAGTGAGCCTGCTCCCTCAACTTCCACCTGTCAGTCAGGACGGAGTCGCACCTGGTATGACCCAGGCACAGGGAGTGCCTTGACAAAGGCTCCCAACCCCGACAGGTCCCACAGTGGTATGGCCGTAACACACTTCTCTCCCACGTGAGAGGGCATGGACTCAAGAGTCCCCGTTCTGACTCTTCCTAGCTTGTGACCTTCGGTAAGCACTTAAATCTTTCTCTTTTGAAAAATGAGGATAACTGATTTCTTTATATGGCACATAAGCGTTCTGAGATAGGTGATCAATGAGATAATGTGTGTGGCAGAGTAATCGGCAAAGAGTAAAAGCTGCGTACGCTTAAGTTTGTTCTTTTCATTGTGTGGGAACAGTACTCCACAGGAGCATGTAGCCAGAAGGGTTTTTTCCTACTTGGCGCATCTAGGACTGGTCCACAGTCAAGACCAGATTGGAGCTAGCCTGAAAGGATGAGTGTCTGGGGAAAGAAGAGTGGACGAAGGGCGTTCCTGGAATGGAGAACAGCATAAGCAGAGTGCTAGAGGCGTGAATGTGTTTGTTGTGGAGTCGGTGTGGTCAAAGCTTGGGTTTCTGATAGGAAGTGAGATTAAATAGATACTGAATTAGCATTCACACCAGGCTAAACATTTATTTAGACAGAAATGAGAAGGCTGGGGATGTAGCTTAGTGGTCAAGCACTTGGCAAGCATATGTGAAGCTCTGGGTCCAATCTTCAGTGCTGAAAGAAAAGAAAGAAAGAAATGAGGAGTCATTGAAGGTATTTCAGCCAGAGAGTAACCTTGTTTCTGAAGAATGGCCGCTTTGGAGGAGAGTAATTGGCAGGTACAGAGGCAGAGGATGCAGAGAGCCAGTTCTTAGAACCACTTGAGAGTTGATGATGGGTCAGAGCTAGGAAGGGGGCTGTGGGATTGCCACATTGATGTACTTGGAGTTCCCAGGAGCTGAACCCTGCTCCCAGATGGCACATGGCATCTGGGGCACCTGTGCCCAAGCTCGCATATAAAGGGCAAGGACTAACTCCACACTCCTCTGCTGACGTCCTGGGCCACATGTGTGGAGCTGCTGCTGCTTCTTTCTTTCCCCAGCCTCCTCCTGCCCTAGGGTTCAGGGATGATGCTGGAGAAGAACCAGGACATGAATACTGTTGAGCCCATTTCTTCAGGGAGCTCACATTTGTCCAGGGTATACAGACTCTTGCTGGGTGTGGTGGTATAAACCTGTAATCTCAGCACTCAAGGAGGCTGAGGCAGGATGATCACCATGAGTTCAAGGCCAGCCTGGGTTACATAGCAAGATCCTCTCTAAAAAAAAAAAGGGGGGGGGGGACAGATTCTTAATAGCACTCACAAAGCAAAGGCAAATATCAGGGATGCAGTGAAAGGGTCTAGTGGACAAGAAATGTATACATCTTCTGGAAATGGAGGGGCAGAGATGAAGGTGCTTAGGAGTGGCCTCAAGGGGCTCTGAGTAGCCATAGAGTGGTTACACAGAGTGGAAGCAAGTGTATCAACTGCCTCCTCTCAAGCTGGGCCCTTTTGTGGCCTCCCTCCCCCAGCCCTGCACTACCCACCCTTCCTCTGAACCACAGGTGGTAGGAGTTCTCAGTTGTTTTCACCATCACCCAGAACTCAGTGAGTCCTTAAAGAGCAAGTGCCCAGCTCGGCAACAGGACAGACAAGTGACATTCCAGGCTGGCACAGAAAGCGTCAAAAGGTCAGAGCAGCCTGTGCCTACCAGTCACCCCTCCAAAGGGCCTGCTCCTAGCAGCCACCTGGCATGTGTTCATACTCTCTTTGACTGCATCCCTGTTGTCCTGGATTCTTTCTTAAGGCCTATTCCAGCATCCCTTAATCACCTGCCTGACAGACCTGAACCTGGCCTCCTTATTTTTCTGGGTCCTAGACTGCTGTGAGAAACCACTGAAAGCTACTCTCTTCTCCCTAGAGTATGGCACAGTGGCCCACAACAATATGCAACACCCCATTTTTCCATGTAATTCCAGGGAATTTTTTTTATTTTTAGACAGTGTCTCACTATGTAGTTCAGGCTGGCCTTGAACTCACTGTTTAACCAAGGCTGGCCTCAAACTTGCAGCAGTTCTCCTGCCTTAACCTCTAGAGTGCTGGGATTATAGGCGTGCCCAGAAATTCCAGGGAATTTATGCATTCTAGGATAAACAACTCTTCCAGGAGGATTCTCAGACTCTGGAGATGTACTAGGTGCTGTTCAGTTCAGTAGGGAAAGGAAAAAACCCTCATCCATGGTCAGAAATCTCTTCAGCCCACAGCAAGATACAGTTTCCTGCCCAGGTGACCATTGATCAGGTAACTGGCTCTCATTACACACACGCGTGCACACACACACACCCACACACACACACACACACACACACACACACACACATATAAGAGCTATGTCTCTGCTGTAATCCAAAGTCCCTGCTTTCTGCTCTCCCATCAGGCATCTGGCTGCAGCCCTGTGACTGAGTATATGGACATTTGATTCTGGGGCCAAGGGGAAGGGACCCAGAGCCAGGCTGGGAACTTTTTGTTTCCCACCACAAGGCAGACCCGGGACATAGGCTTCACTCCTGAATGGTCTCTGTCTTCTTAGAGCTTACTTTTTCTAGTTGGAAAGACAGAAAATAAGTAATTTAAAATAATACAGTGGACCCTTGACTTATGAACTCATTTAGTTTGAGAGGGCTGGTTGTAACTCAGGTTGGTCAATTCAAGGCCCAGTATCCTCTACGCAGCCTTCCAAGTCTCTCCTGTAGACAGACAGGTCTAGGTATCCTTAGGGAGACATTGGCCCAAGATTTCTCAGTTAACCCCACAAAGGAAAGGATATTGTCCCTCCCAGAACTCTTTAAGCATTAAATCTGTATCTGAGACCATCTGGAAACACAGGTTTCCAGCATTCGGGTCAAAACTTAAGACTTTGGTCCTAAGTTAAAGCTAAAATTCCATTCATAATCCAAGTTGTTCACATGTCAGGCCAGTCATAACTTGAGGGCCCACTGTAATTGCTATGGACAAGTTAAAGGTAAACAAAACACGGAATGTGTGTACTAAGCTGGTGAGTAATTAGGGAGCTCCCTAACAGGGTAGCCACTCTGTTCTCTACAGAAGAACAGCCAGTGCAAAGGCCCTTAGGCTTGGTGTGTTAATGGGGTGGAGGAAAAAAAAAGAGCATCATGGCTGAAAGGAAGTAGGCAAGGAAGCAAAGAACACTGCTACAAAATGAGTTTAGAGAGACGAGTGGAACTAAATCATGAGACTTTTATAAGAGGCTGAGTTTGGATTTTTCACGTGTGACATCAAATACGCATAATGTACAGTTTACCATCCTCTCCAAGTGCACAGTTCCTCCTAAATACATCCATTATTCTGCAACCATTGCTACTGTCCATCAGCAGAACAGTTTCATCCTATATTGAAACGCTGTTTCTGTTAAACCACAGCCCGTCCTCCCCTGGCCTGCAGTCCACACTCCCCTTTCTGTCTCTGTGAATTTGATTACTTTAGGTCCCTCGTATAGGTGGAATCAGACAAGACTCATCTGTGGTTGTAGCATCTGTCAGAATTTCCTTCCTTTTTAAAGCTGAATAATGCTCTGTTGTATTTTACCACATTTTGCTTATCCATTCATCTACTGGTGGACGTTTAGATTGTTTTCACTTGTGGCTGTTGTGAGTAATGCTGCTGTGAAGATAGATGAGACGTATATGATTGATTTTATTTTTTAGGCAGGGTCTCACTGTGTAGCACAGGCTCCCCTGTGGTGTGCCACCACACCCTGCTAAATATCTGTTTTAATTCTATGTGGTTTTTTTCTTAAGGAAACCTCATGCTACTTTGATTTGCTTTTAAGTGCTTTCTTGTTTTTATTTTTTCTGGTGGTGATGATGCTGGGAATTGAACCCAGGGCCTCATACATGCTAAGCAGTCAAATGCTCTACCATTGAGCCACATCCTCAACCCCTTTTATTTGAGACAGGGTCTCACTAAATTTCCCAGTCTAGCTCCTAGCTTGTGATCCTTCTGCCTCAGCCTCCCAAGTAGTTTGGATTACAGGCATGTACCACACACCCAGATAAATACATTGTTAAACCACTGTTAGTGCTGAGCATAGTGGCACACACCTATAATTCTAGTACTCATGAGGCTGAGGCAGGAGAGTCACTGTAAATTTGAGGCCAGTATGAACTGCATAGCAAAACCCTGTCTCAGAAAACCAACCAACAAACAAACCACTGTTAGTGAAATGATTTACAGTTTTAGGAGATAACTCTGCTATTCTCTGTAGTTGTATGTCAAAAATAGACTGGGGAACTAGGTGTGGTTGTGCACGCCTGTAATCCCAGCACTGAGGAGGCTGGTGCAAGAGGATTGTAAATTTGAGCCCAGCCTGGGCAGTTTAGCAAAGCTCTGTCTCAAAGTAAAAAAATACAATAACTGTTGGGATATAGCTCAATGTGAAGGCCCTGGATTCAGTCCCCAGTACTACCAAAGACAAAGACAAAAACAAACACAAAGACTAGAGAGAGTGATGTAAAGTTGAGACCAAAAGACTATGACCGCAGAGATGGAGAGTGAACTGGCTATGCTTGTTGATGTATAAAAGAGGGCAGAGTCGTCGGGGAAAATCCAGCATTAGGGCAGCTGAGGGATGCTGGTGTCATGAGCAGATGTGGGGGCCTGAGAGGCTGGTGGGGTAATAACAGAAGTTCTGTTTGGAGCATGTTCATTTTGTGGTTCTGTTCGACACTCAAATGAAGATGGGTGGCAAGGCTGGGGCCATCCGCACTTAGGTGGGACCCAGTGAGGCCTGTGTGTCCTGGGTCACCACTAGCTTGTGGACTTGTGCTGCAGGAGTGAAGTACTAAATCTAATTTAAAAGGCTGTCATCTGGGGGTGTGAATGACCTTGCCTGTCTCCGCGCTCTGCTCTGCCATCTTTGATTCTGGTTCCTGTGTCCAGTGGGCTCAGGGGTGGGACAGGGGAAGGACTAATGGGGAAATTCCTTAGGGGAGTTGCCTTGCACCCCTAGGATGGCCTGAAGCCTGGAGCTGGATGCCTCTTGGGCATCCAGTGTAGCCACCTGAGACTAGAAGAAAGGTGTGGGAGAACTTTGTAGAGCTCAGGCCCCCCTGAGGGGTGCGGCTCAGTGCTTCTTAGTCCTTTACCACAAAAACCACTTCCTATGACGTTCTGTCCCTGGGTTATCTCCACTACCATGGGCTTCCTGTGAGCAGAATTAAGCTAGTTCTCAGGGGAAATGTCAGCTACACCGAGGATGTGAAGCTCCTGTTGGAGTTCCTCTCTCCTTCCTGTTAGAGCCTGCACTTGCGGCTGTGGAGTCTGTGGGCTCCTTGGGGTCTGCACGTGGGCAGAGCCCCAACGGAGGTTTGTTAAGTGGCTTCTGGGCTGAAGCTGCACAAGAGGCTAATTTTGACTGCTGAGGGCCTGGTTCCAGAGGGGAGAGACCTCATTTCTGGAGTAAGATACAGCTCCTGGTGACTGCCTGAAGAATTCCACATACAAGTCAGCACTGGGTCAGGAGCTTTTGTCTATCCAGGAAAACCAAAGGGGGGGAAAAAAAAGCTTCTTTCCCATGGGCTCCACCCTCTACAGCAGTGACCGAAAGAACAACTTGACAAAGTCCCTTTCTTGTCTTCTCTTCCTGGGGCCTCCACATGTGGCCAAGTGGCAAGGCCTTTAGATGACAGGGAGGCTGCAGAGCCCACTTTGCAACCTACATACATCAAGTCTTGGCCAAGTGGGGCCTTGCTGCTCCTGGGGGAAGGAGGTGGCACAGGCTGGTTAGGGCCTGCAGGTGGCTCTTAGCACTTGTTGTGACCCTGGGCTCATCACTCAGTTTTCCACCTGTTAACACCCTGGGGACCATACTCCCTGCTCCACAGAGTTGTCACCCTCTAGAAGATTAAAGAAGGAAGTCAACATGAAAGCACCTAGTTCAGTGGCTGGCACATAAGTGTTCAGGGAAAAGGGTGCCCATGTGCTTGTGTGTATGAGATCGGTGGCAAACCACTGAATTGATTTGAGGACCCGCAGTTGATAACACGCTGTTCTCAGAGCAAGGGTTAAACACTTGGCTAATTGAGCAGTCTGAAAGGGAAGGGACGTACTGTACACATTTGTCGTAACTGCCCTCCACCTCTGAAATTATCGGCAACTCCATTCTGCATGGTTGAGAAAGAACAGATAAACCAAAATAGCAGTTAATAAAACAAGATTCGGGCTGACTGTATGGTGCGTGCCTGTTATCCCAGCACTTGGGAGGCAGAGGCAGGAGGATCACCACAAGTTCAAGGCCAGCCTGAACTATTTAATGAGACCCTGTCTCAAAAAAACCAAGATTTGGAATACATTTCAAGATGAATCCTTCAAAATAGAGCTATTTCCTAATATTCTAAGATTTGGGGTTAAACCATGATCGTTAGGGAACTCTTAGTCACAGTAGTGAAGAAAGCACACTCTGAGTATTACCACAAAGGCCCTAGGGTTGGCATGTGCACAGGGCACAGAGAACACTGTGGGACTGAAGGGAAGTGGCTGGGAAGAAGTCAGAATGCTACTCCTGAGGAGGCACTGGCAGTCTCAGCAGAGATGCTGTCCTTTCAGCAGGCCTTCCCTGCCACCCTCACGCCGAGGCGCTTGGCCCTCTTGCACCAGGGCAGTTTGTTCCTTAGGACAAATGATTGCATGGCCAGTTCTCAGTAGCGTATGCTGGCCTCCAGCACTGTGCCGGCCCAGGCAGGCATGTAGTGCCCCAGGCTTGTTCTATTTTCGAAGTGCTGAGAATTGAACCAAGAGCCCTGCACTCTACCACTTGGCTACATGCCCAACCCCTTTAAAGATACAACTTATCCAAGCATGGTGATGCATGCCTGGAATCCCAGCGTCTGGGAGGCTGAGCGTGAGAGAATCACAAGATCAAGCCCAGCCTCAGCACTTTAGCAACTTACCAAGAACCTGTCTCAAAAACGTGTGTGTGTGTGTGTGTGTGTGATTGAAAAGCTGCTTAGCTTGCTTTCATCTTTAAAAAATTCCATTTTCAGGGGCCAGGGATTTAAGTGGCAGCACACCTGCTTCGCAGTGCAAGGTCCTGAGTTCGACCCCCAGTACTGGGAAAAAATAATACATATTCAGAGGAGATTATCAGAGGGATCAAGGCCAGGGATGAACCTCGTGAAGAAGTCAGCCTCTGTGTGTACTTTACCAATCAGAGGGTGTGGGAGACAGGAAAGACAGACACTGGGCGATGACTGTGCACCCACCAGGTGTGAAAGACAAGGAAGCCCGAAAGGCAGCTCTGAAGGAAGCGCCTGAGAGGGTGGGAAGCCAGGGCGTCTGAGCAGCTTGTCAGAAGTTTGGACTTGATGTGAGACCACAGAAACACCTCTGAGTGTGTCTCGGATGATAAGGAAGGGGCCGGTGTAAACAGGATCCAGCGCTGCAGAGCTGGTGTCCTGACAAGGGGGCTCTGGCCACAGGCAGCGCTTCCTCTTCCTTCCACTGCCCTCCCCTTTCCCCCTCCCTCCCTTGCCACCTTTTTTTTGGTTTTGGTTTTGGTTTTGTGTGTTTGTTTTGAGACAGGGTTGCAGCAATCCTCCTGCCTCAGCCTCCTGAGTACTGGGATCACAGGTGTGCACCGTGACACATGGCTACCTTGGCCTTCTGTGCAATGGCTCAGTATAGGTGGAGGGAGAGGGTTGACATTTCGGGGAGCTTAGGAGCACCTGGGCTAGGTGCTTACTTTGGATGAGGTTGCAGCGGTGTTGGTCTGCAATAGTGGCCCTATCCTTTCCAGAATACTTGAAGGAGAAGCTGGAGCAGTACATGGAGAAGCTGCAGATCGTGAAGGTGGTGCGGCAGGAGGAGCGGAAAGGGCTGATCACTGCCCGGCTCCTGGGGGCCAGTGTGGCACAGGCAGAAGTGCTGACGTTCCTGGATGCCCACTGTGAGTAGGAGACGCCCACCCTCGCACCCTGGGACGTGTGTCACCTGCCCCGCCAATGGAGACCATCCTGTTCTGTTGTGGGAGTGAAGGAGGCTTGGGAGCGTCTCCCACTTCTACCCCTCCCCCATACCTTGTTCTGTGCTCTGCCCCTCAGACAGGTCTCCTGCTACCTCTGGAGCCAGCAACACCTCCCCACCACTGTCAGGGGGAAATAACTATTCCTTAAGTGCAGTGACAGGGAAAGTTCTTGACTTGGAGTGAGATGCCCTGGCTCCCACTCTGACCCTGCCACTTACTGCACCTCCCTCACTTGTAAAATTGGAATGAGGCTGGGTGTGGTGGCACACGCCTGTAACCCCAGCACTCGGGAGGCTGAGGCAGGAGAATTTCAGCGAGTTTGAGGCCAGCCTGGGCTACATAGTGAGTTCAAGGCCAGCCTGGACTACATAGTGAGACCCTGCCTCAGAAAAAATTTAAAAAAGGAATGAGAACACCAACCTTATCTACCTACCACAGTTATTACTCCAGGAGCTCAATGAAGTGATATATGCAGAAATTCATTGAAAATCTCAAAAGATAGAAGAATGTTAAGGGACTCTTTTACCCTTGGAGCTGAAATTTGAGATACAAATCCTGAGAAGGGAAACACGTCCTGAAATCCACACATAGGTGGGGAGCTGGCCCTGTGGGTGAGGCTGGAAGCACTGAAGATCTGTATCCAGGGGACTTCCCTGTGCTTCTGGATCATTTGAGCTGGCTGTGTTTCCCCTTCTCTCCCCACCTCCATTTTCCCTTCCAAAGCGGCTTCCACCTTTCAGAGTTAAGGGCAGGAGAGTCTCACATTGTTCCCTGCAGCTGTGGAGCTCAGCGGGGAGTGGGGGGAAGGTTCCTCTGATCCTCCTGGGTCCCCACTGGGGTGGGCAGGTCCTAGACTGCTGCCCCTTGCCTGGGCCTGCAGGTGAGTGCTTCTATGGCTGGCTGGAGCCCCTCCTGGCTCGAATTGCTGAGGATGGGACAGCAGTGGTGAGCCCAGACATCGTCACCATTAACCTTAACACCTTCGAGTTCTCCAAGCCCATCCCCGGGGGCAGAGTCCATAGCCGGGGCAACTTTGACTGGAGCCTGACCTTCGGCTGGGAGACTCTACCTGCACACGAGAAGCAGAGGCGCAAAGATGAGACCTACCCCATCAAGTAAGGACCAGCTTGGCCTCCACGACCCCAGTCCCACCCAGTTCCAGGGAGCTGTGCCATCCCACATCAGAGTTTATCGGTGCTCTTACCGGGCACTTGACGTTTAATTTAATCCTCACTCCTAATGAGGTAGGTGCTGTAGTACAGGGGGTTGGGGCACGTGGCTTAGTGATAAGGCACTTGCCTAACATGGGCGAGGTGCTGGGTTCGATGCCCAGCACTGCCAAGTACTAGGCAAACAGAAACAAGTGAGAACACTGAGACTCATGGCTAATGATAAGCAGCTGGTCTCAGATCACGCAGCTGGCAAATGGCAGGGTGCAGACACTCATCCCCGATCCCTGCTGGCCCAAAACCTTCACCACACTGCCTCACCCCGTAGCAGCTTCATCTCGCTCGTTCATTTGCTATGTGTCAGGCTTTACCTGCTGTATCTCATTCATTCCTCCCCACACCTGGAAGGTGTGACCAGTAAAAACTCAGAATATATTAAGAGAAAATAGATACATTTTGTGTAGTCTGAAGTTTGTTGCAGTGCCCTGAACTTTTTCAGTAAAGGCCGGGGTGGTAAATCTCAGGCTTTTCCAGGCAAAGTCTGTTGTATGTTTTTCTTTTTGTTTTGGTTTGAAAATATGAAAACATTCTTGCTGCAGAGCCCTGTAAAAACAGGCACAAGACCTGGTTTGTCTGGAGCTGGAGGGTGGACAGTTGAAAGTTCATCCACTGAGGCAGACCTGGGCTTGCCTTCCTCACACCAGAGCTGCCCTGCCCTCTGCAGATGGTGTTGGTGGTGTTACAGGACACAACTCTACTTTAACTGTTGTCTCAGACCAACTGGGTTGGAAAGTGAATTTTACAGTGTCTTGTGACTTCGGATTATGTGTGCCACTATTTTTGTATGCTGGCCAGGAGACACTATGGATCAACTAAACATACATCAGGAATAGAGGGTAGCAGTGGTAGGGGGTGGGGATACAGTGGCCAGAGATGACAAGAAAGGCTTGAAAAGAAGAGAAGGTTACAGTTCCTTCTCCACATGCCCAGAAGCCTAAGAAATACTGTCCAGAGCCTCAGGTAGGTGCCACAGAGAGGAATCCTAAACAGCCAACTGCTGTCTCCATTAACAGGGGACAGTGAAAAGAGAAGGTAGGAGAATGGAAAGAAACAGGAACTTGCTACTAGCTCTCCTCCTGTGCCACCTACGCCTTTTGTTTGGTTCGCATGGCAACAAAGTCCCGCCTCCAAGCCAGGGCCAGGCACACAGCAGCACAGTTGGGGCGGGACACCTGACCCACCCATCAATGACAACCCTGGTGCCACATTCAAGAGCCACGCAACTGGAGGACAAAGCTCCAGTGTATGAGGGATGAATTTACTCCTTGCCTCAGAAGTCCTGGGAGCACAAGTGGCTTGCCCAGGACACTTCACAGTGTGGCTCAATGGGAGCATTGTGGGTAGCCACCTCCCACTGTCTGCTCTGCAAAGGAGGCTAAGCAGAGAGGTGGAGGACCCAGGGATCCCGGAAGTAAGCCAGGAAATACAAGGTGTTTACTAGCAGTTGCCTCTTGGTGGCGCTGTCCAATGAAGTTCTCCCATGTAGGGTTATCCTCATAGCTAATTTGTCAGTAGCTTCCCAGGATGGAAGTTCTCTCAAAGAGAAGACAGGCCCTGGGGCAGGGTTAAGAGGCTCCCCTTGAGGAAATTAGCTGAAAGCGCTCATCTGGGGCCCCAGGACTCACTGGGTGCTACTTGGGCTGGCTTGCAACTCCTGACAGAAGACAGAACCAGCAGCCAGAAGCCAGCCTGAGCATAAGGGTTTCCCAACTGAGGGTCCTTCTGGAAAGTAGCTACAGAAGTCCATTTCAGGGAGATGAACAGCCATGAGGTCAGGATCCTGTGAAGTCACCTAGATAGATAATGCAGTGAGTATAGATTGAATCCCACTCTGTTCAGTGCACCTTCATAGGTCCTGAGATTACAGAGAAAGTTCAGTGTCTTTCTGTTTGGTTGTACCTTATGGAGTCACCCACTAGGCAGTAAGCCCTATTCGAGCCATCCTGGCTCAGGCACAGAAGCCAGCAGCTAAGGATTATGTACTCCTGCCTTGGCCTTCTCCATCCTCCACCCCTGTCTTCCATTTTGTTTACCTATCCCCTGGTCTACTTAGGCACCCTAACCCTTAGCCCAGCCCTTCTTATGAGCTGCATGATATCTAAATTCTATCAAAGGAGATGTTTTTATCAGTTTATCTGTGTCTACCTGCCTTTTCCTGAAATCCAGAATCTTTTAATAACCTCCTAAATGTTCCCCATGGTCCAAACATTGAGTTTAATCTTACTTTCTTCCTAGAGGGCTTTCAGGAACATCTCTCAGTTTGTCCTGCTCAAGGCAACTGGCAGCTTTACCCCAAATCTTAAGATTCTCGGGCCCATTAAACACCTAAAGGGCCACAGACCCTGACACAGAATGGGATCAGCCCTGCCGATAATAGGCATTCATTCATTCATCCATGGCTTGAATCCTGCCTATTTTCAAACTCAATTTCACATAGCTTCTGAAAATTGAATATCTACTCTGCTCTAGTCACACTGCTCCCCAAAAGTAGCCAATGAAACATCTCCTCCACTACTAGACTGTGTTCTCAGCAAATGAGGTCGTTCTTGTCAGCTCCGGATGCCCACATGCAGCATGGGCCCTTGTGGCTGGTGTTTCATACATTGCTCTGTTGAGTGAATGAATAAATGCCTCTTAGAGGCCAGAAACAACAATTACATCTCTCCTTGACCTGGCCATAGAAGGAAAAGAGAACATAGCTTTGTGAGTAAGTGACTTGGTAGAAGGAGGGCTGCCCATCCCAGGAACATGCTTCTCCCTCTGTCTCTCTAGATCCCCGACGTTTGCTGGTGGCCTCTTCTCCATCTCCAAGTCCTACTTCGAGCACATCGGTACCTATGATAATCAGATGGAGATCTGGGGAGGGGAGAACGTGGAAATGTCCTTCCGGGTGAGAGAGAAGAGGGCTTCGTGGGGAATCACAACATCCAGGAGGCAGGAGGAGCCTCTGGGATGTTACATCTGAGACTGAGCTTGAAATGGTGACTGTCTCCTGTCATGGCTCTGCCCTTCTGCTCCCTTCCGTGCCCATGGCATAAAGCTCTGGCAGTTAGATTGGGTCACTTAGAAAACTTAGTGGGCTGAGGGAACACCTGGGTAAGCTGATAAAAATCACTTTTCCAAGCTGGGTTTGGTGGCATACGCCTGTTATCCCAGCACTTGGGAGGCTAAGGCAAGAGGGTTGCTGTGAGTTCGAGGCCAGCCTGGGCTACATAATGAATTTAAGGCTGACCTGAACTACATAGCAAAACCCTGTCTCAAAAAAAAAAAAAAAAAATCATATTTCCAGATCAAAAAGCCAAGTGACTAGAGCTCAGAATAGGTAACCAACTGTCATTTCTCTAAAGTGGGCCCTGGTCCTCACAACTCTGCAAATCTGCATGTGCTTAAACTAGAGTAAACCAACATCAGAGAGCCTAGGATAGTGAGGTTATAGCCTAGGAAGAAGCCCTGTCATTGTCCCTTTTTCCATGGAGAGAGAGCATTTGCCTGAGTTGTTGGACCTGCGATCCAGCATCCTGGGAACTGAACAGTGGTGCTTTGGGGGAGGTTGTCCCCTGCATCTTCTTGAAGGCGCCATCCTGTCTCCTCTTGTGTCAGGTGTGGCAGTGTGGGGGCCAGCTAGAGATCATCCCCTGCTCTGTGGTAGGCCATGTGTTCCGTACCAAGAGCCCCCACACCTTCCCCAAGGGCACCAGTGTCATTTCTCGCAACCAAGTGCGCCTGGCTGAGGTTTGGATGGATGACTACAAGAAGATTTTCTACAGACGCAATCTGCAGGCGGCAAAGATAGCCCAAGAGGTGAGAGAAGTGTTCAGTGTTTAGATGAAGAGAAGTACAGAGTCTCAAACTTTGGTCAGGAGCCTGCCAGGGATGTACCCACCTCTACCATCCACTGCTTACCTCCACCTCCAAGAGTCCTGTGAGCTCAAACCCATGGGAGGGCCTTGGGCATACAAATCTTAAAGGCTAGACAGGAGGAAAGGAACCTTGGTTGGCCCTACCTAGGAGGGGAAAGGAGGGAAAAGAGATAGAGAGAAAAAGAACCTCTTAAGGGAAAAATGGCTCTGATAAGCTAGAATTAGGGAACATGCCTGGGAGTCATGGGAGATGAAGGAGCTGGTAAGGGTATGAGCGGGGGCTTCCAAGTCAGTGCAGGTCTGGTATTGGATATGAGGCAGAACCAGTAACTCCACTGGGGTCCTGAGCAGAAATAACGAGGAGAGGAAGGGGCATTGGGAGCTCTGTGCTATGTGGCTGGAAGGTCAAGACTCTGGAACTGATTTAGAGGGCACTGGCTTGATTGGCAGAAATCCTTCGGCGACATTTCGGAAAGACTGCAGCTGAGAGAACAACTACACTGTCGCAACTTTTCCTGGTTCTTGCACAACATCTACCCAGAGATGTTTGTTCCTGACCTGAATCCCACCTTCTATGGAGCCGTAAGTTTGAGAACTAATATGTCTACCCATCATCGTGATGTCCCCTGTAGAAGTTTAAGACCTCCTACCCTACCAGTGAATGTCAGTCATTAACTGACATTTACTCTCCACCATTTTTTAATCCAGGAAGGGGAAGGAGGGGCCACTTTGGGTCTTCTAAAGATAGCTAAGAATCTGACAAGAGGAAAAACACCCGTAAGCAGTGATTCTCAAACGTTGGTGTGCACCAGTCACTGGGAGAGCATGTCGAAGTAGACTGTTGCTCCCCATCTCCAGAGTTTCTGATTGAAGATTGGGATGGGATCTGACAATCTGCATTTCCAGCAAGCCCCAGGTGATGCTGATAGGCTGGGTATTATACTTTGAGAACCACTGCTCTAAGGAAAGTTGCATGTGCTGAAGTCTTCCAAGGAACCTAGTGTCCTGAGAAGTTTCCCATCTTACCCCTATAGAAGGTGTCCAGTCCTGTCCTTCTCAGGCTGAGGGACTCTGCACCTTTGCTATTCACATCAGACATCTGGATTAATGAACAGGAGAGGAAAAACCACAGAAGGGAAATCCAGCCATGCAAATTCATTCCAGTTTGGTTGGCCCCATAACACAACTAGGAAACTCCAAGCTGTGCTATCCTGGTTCCCCTCTCTACTTACCTTTCTGCAGATCAAGAACCTTGGTATCAATCAATGTCTGGATGTGGGTGAGAACAACCGTGGAGGGAAGCCCCTCATCATGTACTCCTGCCATGGCCTTGGCGGTAATCAGGTAAGCAGCCCACCCATACCAGGCAGGCAAGTCCAGGAGAAGGCTGACTCTAGGCCACCACCTCTCCTCATGGGTTCCCTTCCTGTGCCCTAAGTAGTCCTTTCCTGAAGACACCTAGAAAAGGAGAGGGAGGTATCATCCCACCTCAGGAAGCTTCCGGTATGACTGGGACCAAATGACACAGATAGACAAAGTCTGATGTCTCAGCTTGGGACAGAGTGAGCACTGACCTCAGAGAGGGTGCTGGGGAGTGGCAGGAGGGAGCACTTAGTCAGAAGGCTCACTGGAGGAGCCTAAGGACTGGGTGATATTTATGCGTGGATATGGAAAATTTTTTCTCTTGACATATAGACTTATTCTGATATAACCAGATATGGTACAAATCATTAAGGCAAAACAAAAGTTACAAAAAGTCTTGGCATGGCCTTGTTCACTTGATTTATTCCATCTATGGTTGACATTTTAGGACAGGTAGCTTTGGAAGGTGGTGGGCAACCTCCCTCTATCTGTTCCTGAGGACCTTGTCTTATCTTGACTTCCAGTACTTTGAGTACACAACCCAGCGAGACCTTCGTCACAACATTGCCAAACAGCTGTGTCTACATGCCAGTGCAAGCACACTGGGCATGAGAATCTGTCACTTCACTGGAAAAAATACCCAAGTGCCCAAGGATGAGGAATGGGAATTGACTCAGGTGAGTCAGTTGCCCAGAGAGCTCAGAATTCAGCTGGGTATGGCAGTGTACACCTATAATCCCACCACTTGGGAGGCTGAGGCAGGAAGGTGGCTGTGAGTTCAAGGCCAGCCTGGGCTACATAGCAAGTTAAAGTTGGGCGTGGACTACATAGGGAGACTCTCTCAAAACACGACAAAACAAAACACTTGGAATCAAAACTCTGAGGACACAGTTGCCCCTTCCTTATTTTCTGTAGCTTCTGGCTGAGACACAATGGAGTGGATTAGGCAATCTAATGGTGAGTGTGGGCTTTGTCACAGCAGGGTTCTCAGGACTTGAGTAATATTTGGTGTTGGCTGTCTGGCTGATATAAACATGGTGGCAGAGAGTATGGCCCATGTCCAGTTCTACCATAGCACGAGCATTTTTTTTTTTTTTTAGCATTTTTAGATTGAACCCAAATAGGTAACTATAAAGGGTTATTCATGGTTCCTGCCTGCCTCTGTGTGGCATGTGCAAAGTGAGGCAGTTAATATGCATTAACTTGGTTAATCTTTTAGGAGCTCTTTCTAAGTAGGAAATTCACCATTTCTACAAAGGAGCCAAATGAAGCCCAAGACCCATCACTGGGAAATGGTAGGGTGGGATTCAGACCTAGGTAAGTGTGACTTGAAAGCATTGCGTTTCCCATGGTACCACACTGACATATACAGCACTCCATAGCACTGAGACTAAACTCCATTCCACTCAGGAAGAGAGCCTAGCCTTGAGGATATAGGGAAGGGAGGAGTCCAAATATAATCAAATACACAAAATGGAGAGTGGGCAACAGTGGCCTCAGGTCTTTGAACCTGGCCATCCAGGAGGCCGTGAAAGTACTTTTCTGTTAGCCATGGTCTTGCTGTCCTCTACTTGCCTTCCAGCCACTCAGGCTAATGCTGAGGGTGAGGAGTTGGCACCAGATACAAGGGAAGCTTAGGAATGCATCTCTCAGAGAGTCTGCCTTCCAGGGATGGAACTAGAAGTATCTTCTCTGTGCCTTGTCAGTCTTCCTTTGTGTGTCTCTCGTCTCATCCCACTCCACCCCCCAGTAACACTGTTAGAGGTCTGCAGCCCAGGCTGACCCTTTGCTGTGTTGTTTGTAGGATCAGCTCATCAGGAACTCAGGATCTGGTACCTGCCTGACATCCCAGGATAAAAAGCCAGCCATGGCCCCTTGCAATCCCAGTGACCCCCACCAGCTCTGGCTCTTCGTCTAGGCCCTTGATCATCCCCACTATAAGCTCCCCTTACCCTCCAAGTCTTCTCAGGAAGCAGGATTGTCGATGTCTGGGAACCTGACCATCAGTCCTCCGTAGACCTTCAAGATGGATTTGTAAATCAAATGGATATCAAGGCAGGACTTTCTTGCTCCTTGTAACAAGTCTGGGTCCATTTTCTTTCCTTCACACTGATAGAAGAGACTATGTGGATACACCTAGAGCTTTCTTTTTGTTCTTGAAACAAAGGCCTCCAGAGCAGAGGGCAGCAACCCTGAGGTCAAGAAAAATACCTCTGCAACCTTTTCCTGAAGCCTTTGTCAGCCAAAGCACCTGAACAATTTAGTGAAATACTGTAACCTAAGACAGGGTTTTGAGGTCAGAGGAAGCCTTCCCTGCTAATAATACCCAGTGTGTAGAACAGATTATGATTTACAGAAAGCACCCAGCTAGGTGTCCTTTATCTTATTTCATTTGCACAATAATCCTGTGAGAAAGACAGGACAAGAACTTCTGTGTCCATCTTACAGGCAAAAGAGCAGAGAGGTAAAGTAGCCTGTCTACAGTTGCAGAGTAGTGGCTGGTTGAAGCTGACTCTGAGGCTCAGTCTTCAATGCTGTGAATTCAAGGCCAGCCTGGGCTGCATAGCAAGTTAAAGGTGAGCCTGGACTGACTCGCTCTGTGCAACAAGAACACTAGGCAACTGGCCAGCAGTTTCCCGCTCCTTCTTTGTCCCATCCTGATCGTGGAGGTGCTGTCAGCCCAGATGAGGTTAACAAGAGTCCTGGCCAGACTGAGAAAGCAGAGACACTGCGCAGTCAAGCACAACTGATCCCATCTGCTGTGCTTGCATGAAGTCCTGGTACGAAGCAGACTCAGTGTGCGTGCCAGCTCTTCAAGCAAGGTGGACTGGACCCCACTGCACCTGGCTGCTTTGTCTGATACTCTGGAAGAAAATGAAAATTCTGTCCTGACGTCTTTTGAGCAATAGCAGGCTGTCACCACATGAGGGTGCCATGGGACCGCCTTTGCCTCCTGTTTGCACTCAGCATGGCAAGAGGGAGCCTTCAGTACGCGATAAAGGAGACACTGTGAGGTGCCCTGGCCAAAGGAAAGGAGAAAGTGGCTGGGATAGGACCTGGAGTGGGAAAAGGAGAAAGTTCTACCTCTGAAGGAGAAGAGTTGGAAATGGGATCCCAGTGGAAATAAAGGTTTCATGGCATTTGTAGAGGAAGTTTGCATTGGGCTTCTCTTCCCCGGAATTGTCTCTCAGCTGAATACATTAATTCAGGCTGGGAAACACCACATGCACTTGAAGAGTGCTGTTACACCCCTGCCCCTTTTCCCTAAACATCCTCTGGCCCCAAGTCTAGCCTGTGTAAATAGGCAGAGATGTAAGATGAGGTCCTTCACCCACAGACAGGTCATGAGAGCCTGGAGATGTCCAAAAATGTGCTATTATGAGTTAAAGAAAAAACTTCCACTTAAAGGAATCAAGAAAGGCCTCACAAAGACAGTAACGTTTGATCTCACTGATAGAGAAGTCTCAGGTGAGAAAGACTCAGCAGAAATGTCACAAAGGCAGCCATCTAGAATGAACATAGCCACCGAGGGACAACAATACAAGTAGATCTAAAAGAGGACATGGTGAGGAAGGGATGAGGGCTGCATTTTGACTTTGGTGGGTGCAAAGCACTTCTATCTTCCCAGGACCCTTGTCCCACTAAAACACATTTTATGAATGCACTGGTATAAAAGTGAATATAATCCAGGTTCTATTCTGATCTTTAAAAAAATCTAAAACAGGGATTTAGCTCAGTGGCACCATGGCTGCTTCTCAAGTGCAAGGTCCCAAGTTCGATCCCCAGTATAAAAAAAAAATCTAAAACATTTTTGTGAGCCCCTTAGAAGTATTATAGGCCCTAAGCACTGTGCCTACTAGACAAGTCTGTCCTATAGAAGAATGGATTTGGGCCCAAATGAAAAGGCTTTGACTGCCATTCTAATTACTCAGGTTAGCCAGAGTCGTAATCCACAATCCTGAACTTACTCTTCAGTGCATTAAAATCCAAACATTTACCTAGCAAGGGTCACTCACCACTTATGTCTGTGGCATAGCCAAGTATTGTGCCCAACCAAGGTGCTGCTCAGTTGTCATGCCAAGAAGCTTCCTCACACCTGCCCCGTGTGTTAAGAGTAACTCAGGGTCAGCTGGAGGGAAACAGGGCCATGTACCAGGCCCAGAGTAGGCCCAGATATGAGGCCTGGGGAGGCCAAGGAAGGGAGGTAGTCAAGAGGAGAAAGAGGGTGTTAACTGGGTGGTGGGAAAACTAAGGAACTAGTTTCTTGGTTTTCCCCTTAGCAACAGCTAACCTTGCCCTAATTCAACACCTGCATTATTCTTTAAAACCCATCCTGCCCCTTCCCTGACCATTCTCAGAACTAACAGAGGATCTCACCTCTTAAAACCTGCTCCTAGCTCCATGCAACTATTTCCCAGCACCATAGCATTGAAGCATTGATCCCCTCTGGGTACTTGAAGAGTATTGGACCATTGCCTCAAAAAGCTAACTGTCCCAGAATTTATTATTTTTAGTTACAAAAGAAATACTTTAGAGAAAAGTCAGATCATGTAGAAAAATAGGAAGTCAAACAAATTCAGCTGAGTGTGGTGATACACACCTGTAATCCCAGCACTCTGGGAGGCTGAGGCACGGGGATTACAAATTTGAATCCATTCATACAATTTAGAAGATTTAGCAAGGGGCCTGGGATTTAGCTCAGTGGTTCTGCCACCTAACCTACAAGTGCAAGGTGTGCAAAAAGTGCAAGTTTGATCCCAGATACCAAAAAAAAAGAGAAATTAACTTGTCCTCATGGTATCCCACACCTACTGATTTATTCTCTAGAAGTAATAACTATAGCATAGGTGTCCAGACTAGTGACTTGCTTGGCCTGCAGTGCAGTAACTGAAGAGGAATTCTCAGGCCTCATGTAAAATATATAATATAACTTTGTTGTTATTGTTTTTATTTTTGTTTTGAGACAGAGTCTTGCTATGCAGTTCAGTCCAGGCTGGCCTCTATCTCCTGCCTCAATCTTCTGAGTGCTGGGATTACAGGCCTGCACCACCACACCTAGTGTGAAATCTGTAACATAGTTAATGTAAGTGACAAAACTTTTTACATTTTACCTTATTATATTACTTTATGAAATAACAAGCCCATGTTTAATAATTAAATAAGAAAACTTACATGTCTGCTTAGTAACAGTGAACGCCGGAGAGGCACGCACATGTAAGTAGGTTGAAATGCTGTCGGTAATTGCTGCATTTTACTCGCCAAGTACATGTAAGAGCTGGTACACGAGGGTTTGTATTGAACTGTGTGTGGTGGGCCCAGGAGGCCGAGATAGCACCCCGCTGTGCCTTCCTCTACGGCCTTCTGCTGTCACCTGTGCACTCCATGACTGAGCATTGTACAGTAGACTCATGAGAAATGTTACCAAAAATCACATCAGAATGTCAGAAGTTTACAACCTTGTGAGGCTTCACTGCTAGCTGTCCAGGGGCACATGTGGCTGCAGGCTACCTGTTGACATGCCTGGTTTACAGCTTGGCATATAGATTCTCCACTGTCTTCTTCTAGCAACATACAAATATACCAATACACAGAACCAAATTGTGTGTAACTTTGGTGTCTTCACTTAGGATATATTTTCATGACAGTTCTTTTAAGTCTTACTGTTTTACTGCTAAAATTTCACAGTAGAATTAGACCCAATTTATTCAACTTTATAATCCACAGCCTTGTACATTTATTTTTGTGCCTGTGTTTATTTCAAAAGGATGTATTGCTAACACTGGAATTGCTTAGTCAGAAGAAATGCAGTGCCTCACAATTTAAACCAAGGTGCCGGGCATGGTGGTGCATGTCTGTAATCCCAGCATTTGGAAGGCTGAGGCAGGAGGATCGCTGTGAGTTCGAGACCAGCCTGGGCTACATAGTGAGTTCCAGGTCAGTCTCAACTGCATAGTGAGACCCTGTCTCAAAAAACAAAAACAAAACAAAACAAAAAATTTAAACCAAGGCCACAATGTGTGCCTCCTTCAAAAAGTGAGAATAAAAGTCTGACCAGCATGGGAGATCTGGCACCCATTGTGAGGAGCTTAAGTACAGTCCCAGAGTTTGGTTTTAATTAGAAGAGTTAATGTACTTTTTTGGGGAGGGGCGGGTACCGGGGATCGAACTCAGGACCTTGCACTTGCAAGGCAGGCAGCAGCACCACTGAGCTAAATCCCCAGCTAGAGTTTGGTTTTTAAGTAAATACGGATTGGGTTTCTCTGGATCAAGCTAAGGGTACAGAGACATTTTACTCTGCCCTTATGAAATAGGCTCTGCCCTTAAAAGTTCACAGCTTTGGAATATGTGATGTCAAGGGGTAGCCTTCAAAGGCCCTCGGCCTCTCCTTGGACTCCTCCCCTGGGCTGAGTCTCCTATTCTCCAGGGAGGAAGGGAGCTAGGAGAATGGCAAAGGCCCCAGATCCCCTGGCCAGTTCAGGCCCTCTCTCTGAGGTCCACTTTGTGTCTGAATGCAAGAGTGAAACCTCCAGGTGACCTGAGCGTGAAAGTGCAACTCTGAACAGCTCAAGGACCCTGAAAAGGGACAGTAGTAGACTTCTTCAAACACCTTTGCAGGCAACTCCCGCTGCTGCAGGCATGAAGCCTGGCTTCTGCAGTATGGGGATGACAAAAGCCCCAGGACAGCCAGGTGATTTTCCTGCTTCCCTGTAGGCCTCCAGGCACCTCCCCGCCCGAATTAAAATCTCCCACTTTACTGTCATCACCGCTCCACCCACAGTCCTCCACTCCAGGCCTGCAGTGGCTCTAATCACTTCAATCACTTTCTCTAATCACTTTTGGACACTTCGTACCCAATCCAAGGACCTCTGCCCTCCTCACAGTACCGTGCACCTCCCTGCTTTCTCCTCTGTTGACCCTAAGTGTTCTGCCCCTCGCCTCCTGTGCGCTCTGCCCCTAATTCTCATAACCACAGACCGCCATCCCATTCTGAAGTTCCCCTCATCAGTCCTGCCCCATGTTCTCCCAGGAGCTCTCTTTTCAGCTGAGGTCTTCCCGATCTGTTTCTCAGCACTTCCTTTCACCAGAATTCTCTCTAGGGCATTCGCTGTGCTCCTGCCTGCACCCACACCTATATGCAAGGGACACACCCTAGCCCCCTCTCTGGGGTGCCTTCTTCCTGCTAACCACTCTGCCCCTCCGGCTCTGCCTTCCCCTCCTAGAGCACAGGCAGGTCTCCGCATTTATGGTACAACTCGGAGCAGTGGGATAGTGGTGGATGCCGGGGGTAGGATGACGAAGATGCAGCACTCCAAGGGAAGAGTGGTCTTGGTTCTCCGCTTTAGTTTTGAAAAAAGTGCTTGTTGGGTGCTTTTCAACCAAGAGCAGGTGATTAACTGAGCTCCAACCTTGTTCTGTCTTTGCATAACAGATAAATTAGTTGACTGGAAAAGCAATCTTTTCATTTGTACTCCTGTGTCACCTGTGATTTTCCCTTCCATCCACCCACAGCCCTGTCAGCAGGCAGGAAGAAGGTCAGCAAAGCTGCTGATAAGAGCAGTATAAAGAGGGCTCGGTTCGTGGGAGGGGGGTCAGTGGTCTACTGCACTGGCAACATGCTGTGCTTCCTTGTGCTTACCACCCTGGTCCTGTACGGTAAGTGGAGCATTTGGCCTGAGTTTTATAGGGAGGGGAATTTTTGCACAAGGATCAGAATGTCTTCCCCAAGCCCAGGACAGCTCCCTACTCTGAGTAGGGGGTGGGGTCCTCTGCGCATGAGTCTAGTAAGTCTATTATCCTGGGTTGTAAGATAGAAAAGATAAGATTACCATCGGCCATGCAAGGCCTTTCTTGGTGAAAGCTCTCAGAGCCACGAAACAGAAAGAAGCCCCTTCCAAGAGACCAGAGCTTCCCCACCAGCCCTTTTGTTGTTGTTGTTTTTTTGAGACAGGATCTCGCTTTATGGTTCAGGCTGGCCCTGAACTCACTGTGTTGCCCAGGCTGACCTTGAACTTGTGGAGATCCTCCTGCCTTAACCTCCTGAATGCTGGGATTATAGGCACACACCGACACTCCTGACAGAGAATATCCTGAATGGGGTGTGGCTGGGATTAGTCCTGCTGTCCATGCCCACTGGAAAATCCTGCCAAACATCAGGGGAGGAGTTCCCTCAAGCCAAGGGTGGACCCTGAGCAAACCAAGACTACAAGGAGCCTCTGGGCTCTGGTGACTCTTGTTAGGTCCTTCATAGCATGCTAGAATTCTAGGACACCTGGGAAAAGCAGAAGGTACTCAGCTGTCCCTGCTTTCACAGGGGGTTCAGAGAACTCACAGCAGGGCCCTTCACCAGTTGTTAGAGAAGGGCTGTGAATTTGCAGACAAGGCTAACATTCCGCAAAGCACAGCAGCCACTCCCCCATCCCCACCAGAGCTGACCCCATGCTTAGTCATCACTCACTTTTCTTCCGCTCCACAAAGGACACAGCACCCAGGACTTTCCAGATACTAATGCACGAGTAGTTGGAGGGAATGAGGCCAAGAAGAACTCCTGGCCCTCTCAGGTGGGTGTTCCCTCACAGCCCAGACTTGCGACTCAGTGAGTGTTGGTGTGTACTTATAGAAAGTACTGTGTATGTTTGTGCATATTCTTCTCAACCAGCAGCTTGCCAGCTGTCTGGATCCTGTTTTAAAGATGAATGGGACCAGGCTTATTTGGGTTCCTAAATGCAAAAGGCTTAGCAGAGGGAATCTGACACCAACCAGACGTTCCCGGCGCACGTTCACCCAAACACAGACCACCTTTGTGCTCCCAGCAACACCCCTCGGGACATCGTTGCAAGACTGTGTTCCAGGCCCACAAATGCCCTCTGCACTCCACACGGTGCATGTCACACGCGTGCATGTACACAGTACACAAGCAGTTGCTTATTTGGGTCAAGAGTTTCCGTTTTTGTAACAGGACAGCTGTGCCCTGCTTTAAGCAAATCTAAATGTATAAAACTGGTAACTTAACAGATGAATAGCCACACTTTGAGAGGAATCGCTGCAAATGCACTTTACAATAGTTTGAGCCCTGTTTTTCGGTTGTAAGACTGGAGGAGAGGCAAACTGATGAAAACGACCCGTCCGTCAGTGTGGGCCAGCCTTCCCGAAATGGGGGTGTTAGAGAACACCGACGGGAGTGCTCTGGAGACCTAAGTTGCAGGACTTGGATGAAAGAGCAATACGTTGGCTACATTTCCTTCCCAAGAAAGAACAGTGACAAAAGGACCTGAGTTCCAAGTTCGGTTCAACAGACGAACTTGCCAAATACACTCCGTGTGTGCCTTTGTTACCCCACCCACTTACCTATCCAGCAAATATCACCCAGCAATGGGGCATTCTTGTGAGCTGACCCCAGAAGCATCTCCACACCCCTTATCAACTATACCACCATCAATCATAGCAACTGGCAAATCAGATAAAACCTACTTGCTATCCTTAGTCCAGAAAGATGGAGAATGTTTTGAGGGATGGCAGGAATTTAAGGAGGCGATATGTTTGGGGCAAAGCCTTTTGAGAAACACCAACCTATCCCTCCCCTCTCTCTTTCCCCTCTAGATTTCCCTCCAGTATTCCTCTCTAGGTTCCTGGGACCACACCTGTGGAGGGACCCTCATCAGAAAGAACTGGGTGTTGACAGCTGCCCACTGTGTAGACCGGTGAGAAAAGCGACGATCAGCTTTTCTGAGCCCCCGGGAGGAGGAGACGCTGGATTTGCTGAAAGATGTCTAGCTGATTTCTCTGGGCAGGGGTGAACAGCGTGGCACCACCCAGCCTGTTCATGTTTGGAGATCATTGTAGCAGGCAGATAGCATAGGGAAAAGTATACGTTTTGGAGTCAGACTCGGGTTCAAATGTTGTTTTGCCATCTTCTAGCTGTGTAACCTAAGAGACATAGCTTCTCTCTTCTCCCATTCCCTTATGTCTGAAATAAAATGATACTATCCGTTTGGTAGAGTTGTGAGGATTGAGTATTTAAGTGCCTAGCCAACATAGGATTAGTAACTATTTTTTCACTGTTGTCATGAGCAATGGTTCTCAAATTTGAGATGTAACCAAATCATGTGGAAGACACAGATGGTTGAGCCTCACTAAGCAGAATTTCTGATTTGGTAAGTCCACAAGGAGGCCTGATGATAGGCATTTCCTTTTTTATTTTTATTTTTTTTAAAGATAGGGTCTCACTTTGTAGTTCAGGCTGGCCCTGAACTCACTATGTAGCCCAGGCTGGCCTCAAACTCGAGGCGATCCTCCTGCCTCAGCCTCCCAAGTGATGAGGGGAGGAATTTCCTTTTTGGTGTGTGCGATATTAAGGATTAAACCCAGGGTCTTCACACTGAGCTGTATGTATAACACCTGTTTATTTTATATTTTATTTGAAGACGGGGTCTCACTAAAGTCACTAAGTTGCTTGGGCAGGGCACAAACTTGGGACCCTTCTGCCTCAGCCTCCCAGAATTCTGGACTTGCAGGCATGTGCCACCATGCCCCGCTCTGATGATAGACATTTCTAACAAGTCTCTGGGTGATGGCTAACGTTTGCAGACAGAGGATCACACTTTTAAGAATTACTAGTCTATGCCAGGCGTGGTGGCACACCTGTAATCCCAGAACTTGGGAGGCTGAGACAGGAGAATCACTATTGAGTTTGAAGCCAGCCTGGGCCACATAGTGAGTTCAAGGTCATCCCAAAAACAAAATGAATAAAAAAGTTTATACTCCCCTCGAAATTGCCTTGTGGCCCACAGCCGTTATTTCATTTAGTCTCCCCACACTTGTCCCAGGTTATGAGATGTGAAAATGAAGCTGATAGTGTTTTTCACTCTCACAAGTTAGTAAATCAGAGCGAAGAGCTTGTTATTTCTTCATCTTTGAGGCTCTTTTGTCCTCCTCTGCCTGAGCCAGATAAGATGGAGTCCTGTCCTAACGATAAGATGTAAGACGGTTTTCCAACCTTTCTCTGAAGGGACAAGAGAGTTCCCTGGAACACTCAGGATTTCCTTCTCTCGCTCCAGTTCCCTGACCTTCCGTGTGGTGGTTGGAGAACACAACCTGAAGCAGAGTGAAGGCACTGAGCAGACTGTGAGTGTGCAGAAGATTGTGAAACATCCAAACTGGAACGCCAACAACGTGGCTGCTGGGTAAGAGCTAGGTCAGGCTGGCCCTCTGCTGGGAGGTGGAGGGTCTTGGCTTCCATCAGATCTTTTGCCAGAGGGCTAGCAGGACTGCACTGTCTGAAACTTGGTCTGTGGCTCATGGCCTGACCTTTGGATGAGGAGCCAGCTGAGCCCAAGAGAATACTATGTCCTACAGGGAAGCAATGAGCTGGCTCATCCAGGGGGACTTTGAGAATTTAGATTTGGGAGAGATTCAGAACTTCGGGTCTTAAGGATTAGTTTGATGTAAGAAGGTTTGCATTATTGGATTACCTGAAGTCTCTTCTCTGTAGATCTTAACATTTCTGCCTTTTGTTTTGTTGTTGTTGTTTGTGTGGTTTTGGTTTTTTTTTTTGGAACCAGGGATTGAACTCGGGTCCTTGCGCTTGCCAGGCAGGCCACCGAACCGCTGAGCGAAATCACCGGCCTTATGTTTTTATTCTTTTTTTTTTAATAACAAGTTTTTTTATTTTTTTGGTACCAGGGATTGAACTTGGGCCCTTGTGCTTGGGAGGCAGGGGACAGAACCACTGAGCCACATCCCCAGCCCTTGGTTTTGGTTTTTTAAGACAGGGTCTCAGCCGGGCATGGTGGTACACATGCCTGTAATCCCAGCACTTGGGAGGCTGAAGCAGGAGGATCACTGTGAGTTCGAGACCAGCCTGGGCTACACAGTGAGAGTTCCAGGTCAGTCTCAACTATTTAGTGAGACCCTGTTTCAAACAAAACAAAACAAACAAACAAACAAAGACAGGGTCTCACTACGTAGTTGAGACTGACCTGGAACGCACTATGTAGCCCAGGCTGGTCTCGAACTCACAGCGCTCCTCCTGCCTCAGCCCCCCGCCCCGAGTGCTGGGATTACAGGCATGCGCCACCACACACGGCTGCCTTTTGTTTTTTGATGTTATGTATTATTTGTATGTGATAGGTTCCATCAGTAAGAGAAAATTTTCTCTTCCTTCTTCTCCTCCTCCTCCTCCCTCTTCTTCCTCCTTCCTCCTTCTTCTTTTTCCTGGAGATTGAAGCCAGAGCCTAGTCCATGCTAGTCAGGGACTCTACCACGGAGCTACACCTCCACCTCAAAAATAAATTTCTTAAAGTGAGTCTTACATAGGAGAGATTTACAAGAGTGAGTTGTAGACTTCTGGAAAGGAAATCAGGAGAATGTGGCCAGGTCTGAGGTGGGGTTTTAGCTCCATAGCAGAGAGCTTGACTATTATGTGAGAGACCCTGGATTTGACCCTCAAGCACTGGGAAAGAAAAAAAAAAGGCAGGGGTTAATTCTAGAGTATGGAGTTAGAGTTCAAATAATTGAGGAATTTCTACAGAGCTTTCAGAGCCACACAGTATTTTATGTCTTTCTTCTTTGAGAACGTTGCCACCAAGATCATGCCATCTGCTCATTTCTGACTCCTCAGTTGCCACCTCCCTGGGTTGCAGACTTTGGCATGAAGCTGCAATACTGATATTCCACCAGCAGATGCTGCTGTTAAACATAAAATGTCCCATAGCTCAGCTACTTAGTGGGTTAGCCCTCATTTACTTTTGTTTGTTTGTTTGCTGTTTTTTGAGGCAGGGTCTCACTATGTAGTTGAGACTGACCTGGAACTCACTGTGTAGCCCAGGCTGGTCTAGAACTCCCAGCGATCCTCCTGCCTCAGCCTCCAGAGTGCTGGGATTACAGGCTTGTCCCACCATGCCCGCTGCCCTTCATTTAGATTTAGCTTTCAACTCCATGGGGACACAAAGGCTTAGTGACCTTAGTGCAGGTGTGGACCTGAGGGAAGGTTTGATTCCAAAGTGACTTCTCTCCTCCTGCAGCTATGACATCGCCCTTCTGCGCCTGGCCAAGAGCGTTACCCTCAACAGCAACGTGCAGCTAGGAGCTCTGCCCCAGGAAGGAGTCATCCTGGCTAACGACACTCCCTGCTATATCACAGGCTGGGGCATGACCAAGAGTAAGTCACCTACGTTGGCACCATTCACCACTGTGATCTTGATTAGTAGTTGAGTTACTAAGGCATACTCTTTTGTGGTGTTAAGTATTTAAAGCCAGAGACCATTATTCTAAGGAACCATAGATAAAATAGCTGATGCATTAAACCAAACTAAGAATAAACTATGGCACAGTTGAGTCAGAGAATCAGACTCTTCAAACTAAAAACAGTCTTACCAAAGAGAGTAGTTATTATGTGGTGGTGGTGGGGATACTGGGGAATGAACCCAAGGCCTTTGTAATGAGCTACATTCTCAGCCCTTTTTCATTTTTTTAATTGTGAGACAGGGTCTTGCTAAATTGCCCGAGCTGGGTTTGAACCTGTGATGTTCTTGCCTCAGCCTTCCAGAGTGTTGGGATTCCAGATGGTGTCACCACACATAGGTCAAACAGGTTTTTGTACTAGTTCTCATTTTGTATATGAGGAAAGAAGAACCAAAAATATTAAGGATCATAATCACATGACTAGTTAGTGCAAAATTAGGACCAGAACCTAGGTGTTCTCTCACTTTGGTGGTTGTTACAGCATTGTGCTATCTCCAAGCAATGGGCTGAGTTACAGTGAATAAGACATGGGTAGGTGTAGATCTAGGTAAGTCAGGGCAAGAAGAGGCTTCAGCTTTTCTCTAATCATCACAGAAAATATTCAGATAATGTGGAGCCAGGCGTGGTGGCGCACACCTGTAATCCTAGCACTTAGGAGGCTGAGGTAGGTGGATCACTGCAAGTTTGAGGCCAGCCTGGGCTACTTACAGTAGTGAGCCTAGCCTGAACCTTACTGCAAAACCTTGTCTAAGAAAAAGAACGTGGAAATGTGAGAGGGCTGTGAACAGAAGCCTGTTAGCCACCAGGCAGCATTTGAGTTTCTGAAAGGCAAGCAAGGCCTTGCTGTGAGCAGTCATTCTGCTGGAAAACCCTGGAGCTGAGAGACATTTCTAATCTGCCTCTGCTCTCAATTTGTTTAACGTCATTGTAGTTCAATTTCTTGATGTATGACATGAAAGGGTTGTCATGATGAAAAATGACACATATGCAAAAGCTTTGAAAAGGCAAAAGGGCTAGAGACAGAAAAGCTGTGCCAAGTTCTTAAGAAATGAAAACAGGTGTGTACCATCCTCATTCTGCTTTGTGAGGCTTACAGTGTAAGAAGTAGGACAGATAAGTTATCAACCAGTAAGATCATTCTTGTCACTTAACAAAGTTACCCACAAGTACAAAAGGCAGGGGTAGGATTGTTGGCTTAGACTTAGAGCCTGGGAAGAATAAGAGGCCTGTAATTGCCATATAGAGAGAAGAGGATCTGTGACATACAACAGAGAGAAGGAGCTTATCCTGAGCTTGGGAAGTTTTGGCAGGTGTGGAAGGATTTTTTTCCCCTGGACAAAATCAGGGCTGACTTCCAATGTGTGTCCTGTTCAGCCAATGGGCAGGTGTCCCAGACCCTGCAGGAGGCTTACCTGCCCAGCGTGAGCCACGCCATCTGCTCCAGCTCTTCCTACTGGGGCTCCATTGTGAAGAACACCATGGTGTGTGCTGGCGGAGATGGGGTTCGCTCTGGATGCCAGGTGAACACATGGGGGACAGGTCAGAAATCCCACCCCCATCCCTTCTGCTCTCTGCCTTTGACCCTCTACCTTTTGCTCACTCTGTTCCATACCTACTCTTGCACCTAGGTATAGACTCAACTTTCTACTCTTGCATCTGAGAATGATTCTGCGCTAGTAATTCTATTCACAGAATCACAAAGTGGAAAGGAACCTCAAAGTTTGCCTTGCTCAGTGTCCCCACCTCAAAAGCTTCAGTGACCCAACCTTTGTGTGTTGGCACATGTGTGTGTTCTCTCCGTATTGTCTGTGGCCTAGATTTGGGGCTGGGCCTAGAAGGGTGGTTGTAATCGTATATAAGAAGGCTCCCAATCCTATCAATCTCATCTTTTTCTTGTGCTTCATCCATCACGGCTTTCTTTACCCCATTTTTTTACAGGAATGGGTACAAGTGAGTGTTTGGGTACAAGTTAGTTTTATATAATAAAGATTATTCTCTACTTACATAAGATCAATCAGCAATAAACCATATTAAAGATTTTCTAATGAAATGGAACGAATGTTCAGTGTGTATCACCCATATTCCAGGCACCAGGGGAATAAAACTATGTCAGTGTGCTCTTCTGCTCTTCCACTTGACATTGTTGGTTCCTCTTTGTATCCTTCATGGTGCCTGGCTAATAGGGGAGGAGCAGAGATACAGTATATTGTAACATACTGCGGCTAAGTATTACAATAAAGACAGGAATAGAGCGATGTGGAAACTCCAAGATAGGTACCACCTCTATTTGCTAAAGTCAGAAAAAAATGTGCCTTTCCTAGGAAAATAGAATCTACAGAAAGTCCTAAAAGTTAAATACAAGTAAGCCAGGTAGAAAAAGGGGGAAAAACAAAACAAAACAAAACAAAAAAACCACTCAGAGAAAAGAAAAGGCATGAATAAAGCATCAGGCCAAGAAACAACTTTCTCACAGCTGAAACAAAGTAGAGATTGGAGGCCCACAAGCCAAATCTGGCCTGCTGCCTGTTTTTGTGCAGCCCACAAGTTTAAAATGTATTATATTTTGAAATGGTTAGGGAAAAAAAATCAAAAGAATAAGGACACAGGAAAAACATATAAAAATTTGCAGCATTTATAAGTGACATCAGGTCATGGCCATCGTTTATTTACCTTTTTTTTTTTCCATTTACCTATTTTTTATGGCTGTTTTTGTACTATAATACAGAGGTTCCTAAAGAGATCATGTGGTCTGCAAAGCCTAATATATTTGCTGTTTGGCCTTTACACAAGAAATTTGCTAACCCCTAGGCTAGAGGATTAACTATTACTTTACTAAGAAATGTCAGAAGATGAGACTAGAGGCCACCAGGAGCCATGTGACTCTCTGACTTAAGGTTTAAGGCCATGCTTAGGGATATGACCTTTATTTCCTAGGCACTGGGAAACCATTGAAGGCTTGTAAATATAACAGCGCAATCAGATTTGCCTTTTAGAAGTGCTCCCTGGTGATGAGGTAGGTGTGCCTTTTGAGAAGGGCAAGAGAGACCAAGAGACTGCTTAAGGGGCTATTGCAGTGATCTAGGTGGGATTTTTTTGTTTTTCTTTTTTTTTTTTTTTTTTTTTTTTTTTTTTTTTTTTTTTTTTTTTTTTTTTTTTTTTTTTTGGACAGGGCCTCACTATGCAGTTTAGGCTGGCCTTGAACAAATGTGCTATGTAACCCAGCCTAGCCTCAAACTCACCTCAATCCTCCTGTCTCCGCCTCCTGAGTGCTAGAATTTCAGGCATGCACCACCACACCAGACTAGGTAGGAAATTTGAGGGCCTGCATCTGGTCAATGGTGGTAGAAATGGAGAGGAGGGAGAGAAGGAAAAGAGAGAGGAAAGAAGGAAGATTTCCCAGTATCTGGCTTAAGTGATGTAGGGTATGGAGTTGGTGCCTCAAACAAGACAAGATTTATAAGGTTTGAACATCCAGGAATAGCTAAGCATCAAGCCAACACCCTCCCAAAAGTTGTAGAATAGGAACACGGGGTGGAGGGACGACACTGGGTTGGGGAAGAACTGTGAATGAAAACATAAACTTGAGTGTTTTCGAGATATGTATAACAAAAAGAACCCACCAGGGTCTAAGAAAGGGCCAGTAATGATAAGAGAAAAGAATGCAGTACAGCTTTACAAACTCTCAGGAAATACTGACAGATCATCACATGGGTGGTCTATGATGCAGCCAGGAACCATAGTAGAAAAGAAGAAAATGGCTACTTAGCAACTGGTGGATCACTGCTGTGCATGGCAAGAACCATTTTAGTAGAGTGGTGAGGGCAGAAGCTTAAGAAATATAGAAGGGAATGCAGATTACTCTTCCAAGAATCTTGGATGAAACAGAGAAACAAAAAAAGGTCTGGTAGCTTTAAGGACAGCTAGTCATGGAAGAGGTGAATCTTTTAAAAGGGAAGAAAATTGAGTGCATTAATAGGCAGAGAGGAAAGTATCTGGTACAGCCAGGAAATAATGAATGGCACAAGATCCCAGAAGAAAAGGAAGACATGGAACCAGCAGCACTGACTTTGGCCAGGAAGAGGGATACCAGACGTGCACAGGGACTTGAAAGAGTTTGCAGGTTGGGTAGCTGGAAGTTGGCAGGCATTCTGAATTATTGCTTCTGGTTACTCATGAATTAGGATGAGTCAATTTGGCTACAGAAAATGAAGAGGCAAAGGTTGTAGAAGTCTGGGATTATTAAGGTGAATGGGCAGATTGTCCTCCGAGATGTTGAGGTTGGAGATGAGGCAATGACCACGTGGGTGTGTGCTTCACTCCATTTTGCTCAAATACAAGATGTAAGAAATAGCTACATCCGAGGCTGGGTTTTCCTGCAAGACTACCACAATAGTACATGACTGCAGATCATTTACAAGATTCAAGCGATGTAGAAGAGGAAGAGAATTTGTTAGCGGGAGGCTGACAATAGTTGAAATAGTAGAATGAAAGAATTAAAGGGATTTTTGTGAATCCAAAGAACTATGGAAATAAGGCAATCAACACATCTCAGTTTTCACTGTGACTTTCCTTTGTTAAAAGTCGAGCGGTGTGGGGAGGCAGAACTAGGCATACTGCAGCATCTTCCAGGTGCTCACCACCCAGCCAGCTCCAGGTGTAACGTGTAGCCTCCTGAGTTAATTCTAATCTTTCTGCTCTCTTGAGACCTTTGATTTTCAAAAATTAAAGTACTTTTCTTCAGGCTGCCACTCAGGTCCCTTTCACTGGAATTTCCCCAATAGTGGGTCTTCTGGGATTTTGGATTTCTAAGTCCCTTTCTCCTCAAAGTGGATTCACTGTCACCTCCCAATTCAATCAACCTATTCCCACTACTTTCTTCTCCAGCTCTTCCTTCTGCTGTGAAATCTTCAGTCACACCCTCCATCTCTCCAGAGCTCCAGTCAATCTCTTTTAAGGTCAATTAGCATACGACAGCAGTACTCACAACTCAGTTTTCTTCTGATCCTCTAGCTCTGAAATACTCTCAAGTCCTTTTTAGGATAGAGATGGAAGGGAGTTAGGCTGTTTTGTTTGGGTACAATAATCTAGGGAAAACACATTTTCCCAAATAGCATTTGGGGTACAGGAACAGAAAAAGTGGTAGTTTAAGGACAGCTAGTCATGGAGGAGGAGAATCTTTTAAAAGCTAGTCCCTCTTTAAAAGAATTATCTCCAATTTAAGCTTTTGTTTTTGTTTTTTTTTTCTCTAGTTCTTCTGTTTGTTTTTTGAGAAAGGGTCTCACTATGTAGTGCAGCCTGGCCTTGAACTACTATGTAGCCCAGGCTGGAATGAACTAACAGGTGGTCCACCTACCTCAGCCTCTCCAGTGCGGGAATACAGGTGTGCACCACCACACCTGGTCTAGTTCTATAAATTTAATTCTTTTTTGAAGCTATACCTATTAAATTGGCACATACTGTAAGACCATGAAGCTCGGTCGTGGAAAAGAAGAGTCATTGTACCAACTCTACTCCTCTAGTTTTCCTTCCCCAGGATGACTTTCAACCCTTTCAGTTGATCTTTTGAGGTGGACCTTTGTATCTCTCTCTCTTATATATATATATATATATATATATACACTTAACTGCTATTTTTCAGTTCAGGTATTACAGGAAGTGCACCCATCCTGCATGAACCTTTCCCTTTACCTTCTCAACCTGCCAAAATAATTTTGGTTAGGTCAGTGTTCATTTTCACTATGTAAAATACTATTAACAATTAAATCATGTAATACTTTAGGATTACTTTTCCTTTCCTACATAACTTACTTTGATTTCCCTGGAGTTAATAAGTACGTAGTTAAGTCAGACCCCTATTCTCCACTAATTTATAAGTCATCTGCTTCATTTTTTTCTTGATACCAGAGATCTGGGACCCCCAGTGGTCTGACCCAGTGGGGTGGTTCTATTTGTGTTCATTATAACATTTAGTTTGTTTTTTTTTTTCTTCTTCTTCTTCTTCTTTCTGGAAATTCAAGACCTTTGATTCTGAAAATGTTCTTTATTGACTATTTCCTTGCCTCCATTTTTTTTTGTGTGTGTGTGTGGTGTTTTGAGACAGGGTCTCACTATGTAGTTGAGACTGACCTGGAACTCACTATGTAGCCTAGGCTGGTGTAGAACTCACAGTGATCCTCCTGCCTCAGCTTCCCAAGTGCTGGGATTACAGGTGTGTGCCACCACACCCAGCATCCTTGCCTCCTTTTTTAGTTTTATCTTTCTAGGTTTTTTCCCCTTGGGCACTAAAGATAAAACCCAGGGCCTTATGCATGCTGGGCAAATGTTCTGTCACTGAGCCACACCCCTAAACCCTCTTTCTAGAATTGATTTTATTCATAGGGTTACCTCCTGGTCCTGTCCTCTATATTATGTTTCTTTGTTGTACTTTAGGTTTCAATTCTTCCAAACTCTCATTTCTACTATCAAATTTATAATTTCTAAGGGCTCCCTTTTTTGGTTCTTTGATTGTTCCATTTAATGATATGTTGTTCTTATACTATGAATGCAGTATTAATTATAGTTCTATAGTTTATTTTCTTCTCCTTGCTTAGACTTTGTTGCCTTCATTTTTTATTTTTATAGATTTGTTTTGGTTTATATTTAGTTTTGTTGTTGTTTCATTTTGTTTTTTCTTTTTTGGTACCAGAGATCGAACTCAGGACCTTGGGTTGCAAGGCAGGCACAGTACCACTGAGCTAAATCCCTGGCCCTGGTTTATATTTATTTTTTGTAGTTCTTAGAGTTGAACCTAAGGCCTTGAGCTTATAAACACAAAGATTAGGGCTGGGGTATAACTCAGTGACAGAAGTGTGTGCTTAGCAAGTGTGAGGCTCTGGATTCAATCCCTAGCACCATAAGGACAAACAACAGAAAGTTTCTATGCTAGCATTATGGAGAGGAAAGATATCAATAAGACATAGTTCCTTACTGAAGAAGTTCATGAATATGCATGCAAAGCAAAAACAAATTATGAGAACAAAATACAAGGCAGACTACGACATAAGTGCTGCAAAAGAAAGGCAGAAGGACTGTGGCTATTTTAGAAAGGAAGAAGAGCCAGGCGTGGTGGCACAAGCCTGTAATCCCAGCACTCAGGAGGCTGAGGCAGGAGGATCCCTGTGAGATCGAGACCAACCTGAGCTACACAGTGAGATCCAGGTCAGTCTCAACTCCATAGTGAGACTCTGTCTCAAAAAAAAAAGAAAGGAAAAAGAGATTCCTTTTGATTGTAGGGATATGAAGGAAGTAAAAATTTGAATTGGAGCTTTAAAACTGTACAGAATTTCACAAGTAGAGATGCATGTGGGCTGAAATTTTAGGGCTCTGCTCTTCTTCCCTTCAGGGTGATTCTGGGGGCCCCCTGCACTGCTTGGTGAATGGTCAGTATGCTGTCCATGGAGTGACCAGCTTTGTGTCCAGCCTTGGCTGCAATGTTGCAAAGAAGCCCACAGTCTTCACCCGTGTCTCTGCTTATATCTCTTGGATAAATAATGTGAGTTTTCTCAAATGATAGATTAAAATAGAGTCACCTTAGCTGGGCATGGTGGTGCATGTCTGCAATCCCAGCACTCGGGAGGTGGAGGCAGGAGGATGGCTGTGAGTTCAAGACCAGCCTGAGCTACATAGTGAGTTCCAGGTCAGTCTCAACTACATGCTGAGACCCTGTCTCAAAAAACCAAAACCAAACAAACAAAAATAGAGTCACCTAGAGATGCAAGGATCGCATGAGTCAGGAACAAAAGATGGGCTGGGAAAGTCATTTGTCTTCCTTACTGCATTCACATATGTAGTCCTTTCCCTTTCCCAGGTAATAGTACCATCGTGAGTTCTCCTGCACGTAACTATTGAGCAGACTTCACCATACTGTTTACTGGTTGGGCTGAGATAGTAATAATAGCAGATCTGAACCAGGTACATATTAGTGTTGTCCTAAGTCAAAGCCAAGGGAAAAACAGCTTCAGAAAGGCCTGCATGCTCCTCTCCCTCAATCTCTTTCTAAGGGCACTGTGAGAATTGTTTTAATTTTTTGTTTTGTTTTTCAGAGACAGTCTTGCCATATAGTCCGTGGCTGCCCCAAACTCACTATGTAGCCTTGGTTGGCCGCAAACTTGAGTTCCTCTTGCCTCAGCCTCCCAAGTGCTACGATTATAACTGTATACCACCAAGTCTAGTCTAAGTTTTGAAAATTTTATCACCTTAAAGAATGTTTGAGAATTAGGACAACTGCCTGCACTGACCTAGTAGTAGAAACACACAATCTGTCTCACTATGCCCTCCAGCCTTCAACCATTCTAGAGCCTTCTAACATAAGTGTTGTCGGCTCACAGCGTTTTAAAGTCTGCCCCATGCCTCTACATGCTAGGTATGTGCCTATAATATTGAGGCTTTCTGAGGCCTACTACTGCCCCTACAAGTCCCCATAAACCACCTACAGAACATATTTAACTTGGAGCCCTGAGAAAATAAGAAAGGAGGTAGATAGAATTTACTGTGGAAATAACTGTCTTTTCTTTCAGGTCATTGCCTCCAACTGAACATTTTTCTGAGTCCAGCAGCCTTCCCAAGATGGTTCTTAGATCTGCATGCAATAGAACTTGAGTTAACAAGAAAAAAAATAGAACTGAGGTTATAGCTCAGTGGTAGAGTGCTTGTGTAAGATGCTCAAGGCTCTGGGTTACAACCTCAGCACTGAAGAAGAAAAAAAAGGCAAAAAAAAAAATTCTGAGACTATTGAGTCAGAACCAGATTTAAAAAAGAAGAAGAAGCAGAGGCTGAAGCAGGATATCACAAGCTTGAAGCCACCCTGGGCTACACAGTTTAAGGCCAGCCTGGAATACATAGTAAGATTCTATTTTAAAAAAAAAAAAAAAAAAAAAAAAAAGAAGATGAAAAGCAAATAAAATGGAATGTACATTATCATACTGTGTCTTTCTATTTGTAATTAAACCCTCCAAAGGAAATGCAGTTACAGTTACAGGACTCAAGTTAGATTTCACCACATCTGTGGGCTGGTTCTTCCCCTTGCTGCTATCTTTACCAGTCCACAAAATAAGCCCAGTGAGAGTGGTTTTACAATTACCCATTTTGGATTATTTTAGTATATACTTAGCCATTAATCTATCTGACACTTTCCCGTGCATATCTGCTATAATGAAATGCACAAAATGCTTTTAAAAATTCCTGAGTGACTAAATGTGCCTTAACTCTCTAAGGTAGATTAAAACAAGTACTCACCTCAAGCTCCTGGCTGACAGAAGCTACCAAGATACACCAGAGACAGAAGTGTGGGATTAGGACAGAAGGTCACCTGCCAGCAGACTAAGGAACTAACAAGTGAGAAAGGAGATTGGGAAGCAAAGAATAGAAAAAGAGACAAAGGAAGATACTGAAAAAAGGAGACTTGAGGGAAAGAGACAACAGAAAGGAAGGGGCAACAATATAGGCCTCAAGGTAAAAGTTAAAATAGGCAACAGGACCCTGGTTTCTATAAACCACAAAGAACGGAGAAGCTGATAATTCTGCTCTCTCCTGGCCAGGGCTCGATATGTTAAAAGTGGCCTAGGAGAAAGCAAAGAGGGAATTGAAAGAAGAAGTCTGAGCAGATGAGAAGCAGTTTTTCTAGCAATTGCTAAAGACCAAACATGAGTGACTAAGGTAGTAAACATTCTAGCAGGAGAAACTGGCTGAGACAGGTCCTGGAATTGGTCCTACTATATCAGCAAAGGCTCTGAACATGTTATATAAGAGGCTGGACTGGAGCCAGGACACCTATGTTCCTCTCCCAGTCCTGCCTCTGAGAAGTTGTGTAACCTTGGACCAATTACCAGCCTTTTCTGTGACTTGATTTTCCCATCTAGTGACTGGAGGGGTGGAAGTGGGATTGAGACAGGGTCTTGCTGCATAGTCCAGGCTGGCCTTGAGCTCACTATGTAACCCAGGGTGGCCTCAAACTCACAGCAATCCTGCCTCAGCCTCTTGACTCTTAGGACTACAGGCCTGAGTGCTTCTATCTAGTATATAGTACTCCAACTAGAAAAACTTGCTCCCCGCTCTCAGTATAGTATGGAAAATACTCTTAGTCCTTTTGCAATAGGATTATATCCTTACCTGAGGACTCTCATTTCTCTGAGTTATTCCTCCGTTCCAAACCCAGACTGGGAGTCCTATTCCCACCTTTCTGCACTCTGCCGCTACCAGTTCTAAGCTTAGAGCCAGCCTCTCCTGTAGTGGTTAAACTGCAACCTGAGAGACCTACCATGAACACCGTAGAATAGAAAGATGCTTCCTGATACAGTATCACTTCGTGAGTGGAATGCAGTTGTGTTTCCTGCCTCATTGTGTCAGCTCTCTCAAGAGCTAATTCATCTTCTGGAATGAGTGACCCTTGGCCCACACTTGAATACCATGTTAAATGCAGCCTATGTTCCCCTACTATGGGACAGGATTATTATTTTTTTCTTTTGGGTTTTTTCAAGGGTTTATGTAAACGCTATTCTTTTGGAGACAGGATCTCACTGTGCAGTGCAGGCTGGGTTTGAACTCAGAATGGCCTGGACCTCGTTGCAATCCTCCTGCCTCCGCCTTGGCCTGGGGCGGGAATTTTGAGGTTGGCCAAATGACTTAGTTGCCCAAGTCTCAACCGTCTGACCTGGTCTCCACCTCGGAAGAGCACAGCCTCTACCCCAGTTCCGGGCATCCCCACCTGGCCCCACCTGCTGCTCTGCACTGTGGTGGGCAGTGAGGTGGACCTCACAGTGGCTGCCAGGTGGGCCTGGGTCACTGTGAACATCCGGCGGGACTCAGAGACCCTCGAGTTGGCCCGGGGTGGCCCACGCAGGGGCAACCGCTGCAGGTTGGGAGGCCAAGGCCCGCCCCCTCCCCAGACGCCAGCCGTGGAGCATGCTGGGAGTCCGCACTTCCTCCTCGGGGCCCTGCGGAAACCACAGGACTCAGGGCTCGGCCAGCCGCCCCCTGGGGAGCCAGCAGGATGGCAGAGGGCAAGGCAGGTGGTGCTGCAGGACTCTTCGCCAAGCAGGTGCAGAAGAAGTTCAGCAGGGCCCAGGAGAAGGTAGGCAGCTGGGGCCCTGGGACACCTGAGCTGGAGTTGAGGGTCTTTGGTTGCCAAGAAGGGGAGCATAGGGTGGTTTTCCATGCTGTTGAGAAGGGAGACCACTGTCTAACGGGGAGGTAGGTAAAGGAGACGAGACTCTCTCGGGGACCTTAACCCTTAGGCTGACTCAGGAAAAGGGCAAGAAAGGAAGTAACTTTGGTGCCTAACTGTAGCAGGGTTTGTCCTCTCAGTACTGGGAGGATGGTTGTCGGGTGTGGTGGAGCACGCCTTTAATCCCAGCGCTTGGAGGTCTGAGGCAGGATTGCTTCGAGTTCAGAGCTAGTCTGGGCTGCTTAAAAGGTAAAGGCCAGCCTGCACTAGATAGTGAGACCCTGTCTGAAAAAAAAAATTTTTTCCCCCAAAGTCAAAGACAATGATGACAAACCGTGATGCCATTGAGTACCACCACCTAGCTTGAGATGGGAATCGGAGGACTAAATAATTCTTCGCGATTTTTTTGGCACCTATTTCTGCCTGGCCTCTGAGTGCTGTTTAAACTGGTGTGAGCAGTAGCACATACAGTATCTGTTTCTTGTAACTTCCCTTCGGTATTGGAGAGAACCCCTCCCAAGATGATGAAGGAGCATCTTTTCAGGCTGTGTCTTACCTTAGCGCTGGAAGCTTTACTCCAGCACTAGGGTTCAGCTGGGCTGCCCATCTGTAACTTGCCTGCCTATCTAGATTATGTGTACTTTCTTTCCGTATTTGGATGGCATTTCTTGTTTCTATGGATCTAGAGTATTTTGTTTGTGTCTAACTTTCACCTGCCAACACCCCAGTAGACAAGGTAGTATGGAAAGACACGTAAGCCAGGAGAAAATAAGGAGGAAAGATATAAAGTCTTCAGATACAATATAGTCTTGGTTTTTCAAAGGTTTATGTAAATGCTATTCTAAATAGAAATATTTGTATTATTCTAAAGGTGATATTACTGGTTTGGGCCCTGGGAAGGACTAAGGGCTACCAGTTTGCTCTCCCAAGGGGTGTTATCAACCAAGAACCAATAAATATTTTATGTATTTCATGGCTTTTAAAAGACCGCAGTGGAAGGAAGGGGCTGTATATATATTTTTTTATTTTTATATTTTTATATCTTTTAAGATCATGTGAAAGAGAAGAAAAGTAAAAGGCTTTGTGTGGCCAGTCTGTTACTTACCTTAACTTCATCATTTTTTTTTCAAGCCTCTCTGAAGACTGCCTAGTTAACAAATCTGAACACCTGAGAGTGCCTATGGGAAAGTCTAGCAAGAAATAGTATGGAAAGCAGGAAGTTCCCTCAGGGAAAAAGCTACACTTTGGTTGGAAAAAAAAAAAAAAAAAA